AAAACGAGAGACTTTACCTTCTTTATCTAAAACCTTCTCCGATAGTGATTAATGAAATAAATCAATTCAAGGGAGAAACTCTGCTTGAAAGCCACTTAAGTTCAATAATAAACTATATCCAATGAAAACCAAGAAAAGCAAATCTAAATATTATAAATTGGAATAAAAATTAAGCTAAACATTAAATCCCAGTAGAAGTTTTAGTTCAACATATAATTAAATAAAACTCAATTAAACTTGCCTCAACTATTCTCTAATAACCATGGCAATATTCCGACACAATAAAACACACGAAAATAGTCAGAATAAAAACTAGTTAAGACTTGTTGGTTCGGCTTCCTCTCGAACTCTGTGCACACACTCTCTCGCATCTTGGAAGTCTTGGAGAGAAGACAATAGAAAAAAGATGGAATACTCACACATGAACTCGGCCACTCTCTCAACCACCGACTCACGGTAGTCCTCTCTAATTTATACTAGACTTTCTGGAATCCTTCGTGTTTCGCTCTTCGCGAAAGTGAATCTTTATTGAGCTAAGAATCTTTTAAAGAAAATAGGAGAATTGTTAGCTCTTGGTATTTTCTTCTACATCTAGGATCTCAGCGCCTAGCACACTCCAGCACAATAAGCTGTCCCTCACTCACAAACATCTCGTCAACTCTCCTCACAGCACTCACACGCTCACAAAATAGATTTAAGGAAGCTTTACACAAAAAACATAATAAACCACCCTCACACATCACCACGCTATTAAAGTTACTCTAACAAATATCAAAAATTAATAAACTATATTCAAAATACTATAAAAAATACCCAACTTCACGACACTCGAATCTTCTAATTTCACAAGCCAATCACGTGCATCAATATTCAAAAGGTATCTATTTGCATTTTGGTAATGCACACAAAAATATACCTAAATACTCCCCGAAAAAGAGTGGGGTAAACCACTAATGCCACAGTGTAATCCACCCGTTTTTTAAGTTGCCTCTTTATCACCTCTTCTACAAAGTTTTGCTTTGATTTAAAAATTTATTCTGTTCATACATTTTCTATTCGATTGTTTTATTTATGTGATGTTTTTCTTTTTTTTTTAATTTTTTACATGCATTACCACTTTGTTTCTATTAAAGCTGAAGACATGTCACTTTCGATTTTGATTCATGTTTCGATTATGATTGCAACGTTATAATTTAACTTCTTAAAGGCTAAACCCTACCAGACAATACCCTAAACTCTCAATGACTTGTTGCCACCACCACATCCACCTCATCATCGCTTTGTATTTGAGGCTCTCAGTTCCTCACCAAACTTAGATATATTAGCCCCCACCACTCTTTTCAAATTAGAGTCTTATCGATCCGCCGCCCCCTACAACATAATATACACACACTGAGCAACAGTATAACCTTAAGTTAATTCTCTCAACCAAGGCTTGCGAACATCGCGTCGTTTCGATTACTCTCATTCATCTTCCATCTCCTTCAACCCCATCTCTCTTTCAATAGTTGCTCAAGGTACAACTCCCTCTCCCATTTATACTTCAAAAATTTTAAATAATTAAATTCACCCAAATCAAAATTTTTTAGAAGCACAAAAGCATCTTACATGTCCATTAGAGAAATCTTTACTCTTAAAAGTTTTTAAAATGCCTTTGTAAGGCAAATAAGAAACTAGAGTAAGAAGCACAATCTCAGCTCGAAATACATCTAGTCAAACCCAGCTTACTGAATATCCAAGCCATGTTGTCCAGAGCCTTCAATTGTGAGAGTTATAAACTTGGTCTTCGGGCATAACAACATGTGAATATTGATTGCTTTTTCCTTCCTTTACCCTGCAATTTTAAGAATATTTTGATTGAAAGTTCCTTATTTATCACAAGCCGGGAACTTTCAACAATCGAATCGGAGGAACTTTTTATTATCTCAAAAGTTTATTATCTAAAATTTTTATTATCTAAAATATTGTTTTGGCTGAATTTATTATCTAAAAATTTTGGACCAATAGAATGGGAGAGGGATAAAGAACTTGAGCAACTATTTGAAAGATGAATGGTTGAAGAGAATGGAAATTAAGAGATAGAGTGTAATTAAATGGGGCATTTTTAGGCAAGCCTTGGGTTAAATTAACCCAAGATTATGTTGTGGGTCCCATGTCTATAGTTATTTTATTCGAAATCCTAACTCTAATTTTGAAAGTACAGTGCTTAATATATCTAAGTTTGTAAATTGGAAGTGTCAGAAATAAAGGTCAGATAAGAGTGATTCTGCAAATAAGTCGTTAAGTTCAGGGTACTTTTGTAAGTTTTCCATTCTTGAATTATTAAAGTTTGATTGTGTTGACTAATTTATATATTATCTATTGATTATCTTTTATTTAGTTAAGAATTAAATGTGTTTAGAATTTACTTATACTATTTTAAAGCATTAATATGTATTTATATAATTTTAAATTTGAAAATTTTTTAATTATGATAGGCTACACCAGGTCAGGTTTATGGGTTAATTGAAAAAAAATTAAAGTGGGAATTAAGTTAATGATTACATTTATATTTTGGCCTGGACCTAGACTTAGGCTTAGTCAAAAAGATATAGAGTTGACTAGTCCCAATGCGCTCAGGTCGAGCCCGCACTTGAATAGGTCTATAGATAGCGAGTGGTTGATAACTCTAATGAATATCAGTGTTTGGTTAAAAATTTTTTGGTAGCGCTTATTATTAAAATATAAAAATGACCAATTAAAAAGTGTAAATTATTTCTATAATATATTTATTTGTATAATACATAATTTTTATATTTTTAATGTTAATACATTATTTTTTATTTTATGCATTATTATAAAGGGAAAAATATTAATCAAATTTTTCTTTAAATAATATTTAATAGAAACTTTATTAATTTTTAAATAATTATAAATAAAATGATCAAAATATTAGTTTTGAAAAATAATTTTATTTAAATAATTAAATTTATTATAAAATTTAATGACAGTCCAAATCTTAAATACAAATTGGTCAAAATCCTTATTTTTCAAAATTTAAAGTTATATAAAATCAATTGGTTTTATTTTATTATATACTTAATTCTTCTAATAAATAATTAATTCAGCAGAAAACTAAACAGTGTAATGAAGAATAAAATCAAAATGATCGGTATGGTTCACAATTTTGAAAGTAAGAGTCTTAGACTAGTTTTTTTAAATATAATAATCCAATGATTTTTCCTATATTCACAACAAATTTTTTTATTTAATTTATTATTTTAATGTTAATATTTGGCATAAATTTATTTCTTATTGGAAAAGAAAATATTATTGTCTATTGATTTTTCGTACATAAATTTTTAAATAATTATCAATCTACATTTAATGTTTTTTGCAAAAGATAAATGAATAATGAATAAGACGATCTGGGCCCGTTTGGCAATTGTTAATGCTCCATACACAGCATACGTAAAACCCATACTACCAACTCAGTGCCAATCAAAGCCCTCCTAGGGTTATTAATTACGGCAGCATTTAAACTGTTTTATGTTATCACCTTCCAAGGTGCGACGAATTAATGACAGCGAAAGAGTACATATTTTGCTACAGACACACCGCCTGGCCCAGAAACAGTGTGGAAGAAGCAAAGAAACTAACAAAAACATTACTCTTTGTCAACGCTCGTATTAAAGGGAGGCAAACTACACATAGTACAGACGTTTGCGGCTGCTCAGCCTTTCAACAGTATCCGTATTTTGTTGCGTTCTCCAATTGTCATACTCTCTATTTTACTCTTGATTCTACCTATTTATACCTGCAAAACCTAACACCTATCCTTCTTTAACTTCTTCTTTCGTTAATTCGAATTATAACTCTGGCCACTGGACGCAAATTCATCTATGGTGATGGCGGAGTGGTGAAGGGTGGTGATGATCAGAAGGAAGGTCAATAACGGTCCAAAGTCGCCGTGGAAGACTCCGGTGGTTGCCTGATGCTCCAGTGATGGGAGCCGGAATCTTCGGCCTGCTCTTGCCGACGCTCAGCATCAACAAGCGTTCTAAGAAATAGTTGATGCTGCCATAAGCCGCTGCTCCTCGCTACATTCCAACGCAAGGTATTGTCATCTTCGCTTTAAAAATAAACGGATTGGTGCAGTTATGTAAATACATTGGAGTTTTAAATTGTTTTTAATTGTATTCCAAACTAAAGTACGTTACAACCACTTTCATTGCCCTAAAATCGGACATTTTCTCTTGCCAATTAATCAATATACATGCTTGTTATATGCTTTATTGTGGGATTGCTATGAATGTGTGGGCATCTGCATATGTTATTTTGTTGTTTAATTTCTCTAGAATTTGCATGGGGTTAGGTTAGAGTGTTTAAATGTTGGAATGTGAATAAAGGATAATTCTAGTGGAGTGCTAGGAGTTCTGAAAATTGGAATTGATAAATTAATGCAAGCTATTGACTTTGTCTAATTTTTAATAAAAGAAGATGGATGTGTAAATTAATTGGGGCATGAGGATATAGAATCCGTTTCAATTGGTTTGAAAAGAAAAAATTTTGAGTGTATGAAAGAAAAATAAAGATTCTCTTAATTTTCATAGAAATCTCAGAAAGCACGATTGGATATGTAAGTCTCTCTCCTCTCTTCTCTCTGCTTTACTTCCCTTTTCCTTTTAAATATGTTGGATATGTAATACTTCTAATCCTTTTTTAGGACTTGGGTTCCTATATCGGGAAAGTAGTTATGGCTCTTCCAATAGTATATAAAATTAACAACTACATTGGAATTTCCGTTATTCTTTCTTTACTTGTTCCTGCATCATGAAAATCCAAGCATGAAGATTGAAAAGGAGAGCTATTAAAAGTGGCCTTGTTGGGAATGATACCGACAAAAAATAACAATATCTAAATCATACAATAAACCTTAGTAGACTTGGCACAATTTTGGAAATTCATCTTTAGTTTGTAAGGAAGCACGGTGAAATCATGGATATGCGTAGAACATAAGCAAAAAGTTAGATTTTTTAGTCTCGGCTAGGAATTGAAGAATAAAACTATGAATGTGCAGAACCACCATGTTTGCAATGACTATGCTATGAGAAAAATAATAAAGAAGGGAAGGGATTTAGGGGCTGGCTGCAACTGTATGGCTCTTTTTGAATGGTTAACTCTGTGAATACACAGTAGGCTGTTTTGGAAAAATTGATGTTTATTTGATGTGCAGCTGTTTATGATTTTGATTATACTGATTTCAAAAATAAAAAAATTATTTATGCTGAATTTTGTCTGTTGAGGATGAGAAAATTAACAGAGATCCAGGCTTCACACTTAGCAATTCCAACACGGCATTATATTCAGGAACTCTTTTGGTGTTTACATTATCAATTGTTGCAAGATTCCAAGAGCATAGTACTTAGAAAAATATCTTCTATTCATTCTCTTTTCCTGTTGAATCCATTGCCTAGCTTGTATGTATTGTAAACTTATAACATCATACTAGAGACTCATCATTGAAAATGGAAGTGAATCAAAACAAGATGAGTAACGAATTTGATGGGAATTTCCTTATATATTTGGTTTTGACAAGTAATCAGAAGTTTGCCATGTACTTCTTCTTGGTGACTGCTTGAGGTTCATTCAAATTTGTGATTTGTAATCTATATAAGATTTTTGTTAATGCGGCTTGTTTTTAATAATAGCATTGAATATAGAATTATATTAAGTTGTAGTGGAGCTATGTTTTGCTCTAAAGCAAATTTGGTCCTGTCCATTTTACCAGGTCCTTGAGCTTGAATGGCTCCAACTCTTTGGTTCAGTCTCATCTTTGAACCAAGCCACAAACTGAGCTTGAAGTTTTGGCTTTGACAAGAGAACCACAGACAGAAGAACAAAAGTTTTACTAATTTTATTATTGTTATTAATTTATCTTTATGTATTTTATTCAAGAGAAAACGCAATTCATACGATGTTGACAAATCATGGGAAGAAGAAAGCAATGTGTGCCAAAGCCTAAGCTTCAGAATAAAAGAAGGGCTACTTTCTCAGATGATAGCCCTCAATGAACTAATAGCATTATATTTAGTTTTTCTTATTGTTATCGTTTTTTTTTTTTACCACATTTATTTTATGGTGAATACTTTTATTGTATAACTTCATGTAGACATAATGGCATGTTATTATGAACCCGTTGCAGTTTGCTATAAACTAAAACAAATTTGGGTACTAAATTTATTATTAAACTATGACAGAGTCCCCTAAAATTGGTAATGAGACCTGAACAGGACATAACTTAGCTTATGAATGAGTTTAAAAATCGAGTCTCTTTGCAATGTTATTTCGCCCAAGTTTCCTTGATCATCATTTGCTTGTTTTACCTGAATGAGCCATCAATTTTTCTCAAAACTAATTTTCTTTACATTGCTAATTAGTTTATAGACAAATTATGTCATTCGTTCATGAAGTTTCTGCTGTCCAAAAATCAAATATCTTGGCATTTTTACTTCGTGCTTTTTTTTTTTTTCCTTTTTTGCGTTCACGGAGATGAACCGCCAGTAGAGTTCAATACAAGTTATTTGGCAACAGGTTAAGCACTTTCATAGGCTAGTTGCTGTGTTATTACTCCATATGCGATACATCTTGTGATATTGGAGCCCCTTGCAAGAGCATAGTCAGCAATGGGCCATAGGATGTCATATTTGATGAACATGTCTGCACACTACAATAGGAACTACGTAATTTGGCATCAGTACATGCGTAATGTATACGCCTTAGGCAGCCAAGGTCCGATTCCTCCCTTCTCTAAAGAACTGCCAGTGGTTCTGTTTGTGCAATTTTCTGTATTTCTCGGCAAATCGCCTTTACCCCTTTTTCTTATTTATATTGATATAAAGCTGCAAGCTTATTGAGGAAATTATACTATTTGCTAAAACTTTAGTTGGTTGTTCAGGTGTTAGTTGGGGCCAACAGAAGTCGCAAGGTTCTGAAACTCTAACTCTTCAACATAAGTACTCATCATCAAGCACAATCAAAAGCAGGTTCTAAGCGCAACCAAAACGGTGCACCTCCTTTCCTGTGCCTTTCCCCTTATCAGCACATCTTTTCCCACCTGTTTTCCATGGCCTATGGTACCTCCACCACATTTTGGCTGTTCCTGTTATCATACCAGCCTGGCCTGCAACCTTTCCCTAGTGCTGAACCCCATTTGGTAAAATCTTGGAATCTGATTCTTCCAATGTCCCCACCTTTTTGTTCATCCAGTTAATGTCCCAGCCTCCAAACAAGAGGGGTCCCAATGCTTTGGCTGTCAATTTTTTCCAAAATGAAGATCGAATGTGCAAGATGGCTGGTGGCCATTTGAATCATGCTTGGCACCAGAGCATTTGGTCTAGAGATAATATACTTTGCCAACAGGGAATGGGACCAAGGCCACAGTTAGGTCTCCTTTCTTTGCCTCCTGCTCCAGGCTTCATGGTTGGTCCAACCTTTCCTGGTAATTGTTTTATCCTAGCACCCAGAGTGCTTTCGTTTGATAAGATATTGGTAACCTAATTGCTGGTTTACCCATTTCCTGGGTGTGGAATTCATTTATTCAATTTGTAAAAAATGAATCTTTTTTTTTCTCTCTCTCTCTCTCTCTCTCCCGTTCTTTGCTGTGGAAAATCAACATGCTGTCATCTGATTATCGGATTGTAACAGGACCTCCTATATGCTATGTTCCTGTTGCACCTCCAGGGCTCCTTCAGGCGGAGGCCACCCACCAACGTTTTATGCCGTAGTCAACAGTCCAGGGGCTCCCTATGCTGGCATGAAAATGCTGGCTTTGAGGGATACATAATAAGACAGATAGATTATGTATTTCAGGTAAGTTCTCAGAAAAAGGATTGTGTTTATTCACTGTATCTATATAACATGTCTTGAAAATCGAAAAGAAATGGACCTTCAAATCCCAACCTTGACCCCATTGATGCTGTTAGAACTATGCTATGAGCCTTTTTTTTCTTTTCTTTCTTTTTTTTTTTTTTTTTTTTTTTTTTAAATTCAGCCCTTCATGCTTGTTTTGGTGGTAGAAAGTAGTTTCCTACTTTTTTTTTTTTTTTTTTTTTTTTTTTTTTTTTTTAAATTCAGCCCTTCATGGTAGAAAGTAGTTTCCTACCTCAATTTATATTTCATTGTCGTTGATGCATTATCATTAATCATCTAAACTTGCTGTATGCCCCCTGAGGATGTAGGATTGTTTTGTTGTCTGCTCGGTGCTAATTGAGGTCCTTAACACCAAATGAGAATGTTGATGAGATAGGAGTTGCAAGTCATTGCACGAAATCTTATTTATAACCATGTGCTGATGATTACCTTTAGCTTGGTAATAACCATGTGTTGAATGCTGTTTTTCAAATAGTTGTGTGCAGATTTTTATGTATCCGTGTTCTCATTTTCAGTAAATCAACTAAGTCTTTCAACGTGCTGCAAAAAACTCCATGGGACATTTTATAATGTGGCAAAGCACTGGTTTGTTTGTGGCATTTGCTTATTTTCTATTTACAGTGTACCTCTTTTTGGCAGTGATGAAAATCTGAAGACCGATCATTATCTAATATCCTTGATGGATGAGCAAGGATGGGTACCTATTTCCACCATTGCTGACTTTAACAGGGTATGTTCTTTGTGCTAAACCTTTTATTTTTTTGTTGCTTGATTTGATAAAACTGAAGAAAAATATATGTTATCACAGGTTAAGAAAATGACTACAGATATACCATTTATCCTTGATGCACTACAAAGTTCAAGTACAGTAGAAGTGCAGGTTTGGTTTCTATCTTATCTATTCTTTTTGGCTTCCTTATTTTTTGTATGCAAGCTGGAATGGAGCCAGAATTTTGTGATGTGATAGTTGCATAACAGCTTGAGAAGGTGATTGAATGGTCAAAAATATATTGTTATTTAATTATTTCTGACATCTGCTTCTTAAAATTGTCGTGCCATTTTCTGCTGTAAAGCTAGTCCTTCTAAGTTTGAGTTAATATTATTGTAATGTAATTTTATTTAACTGCTTTGACCTGACTTTTTCAATGAAAAGCCAAATTTGTTATTGAATGGCTGTAGTTCTTTTTCCCACTTGGATCTCATTGTCAACCCTAGTTGGGTCTTGTTCTTGTTTAATCTGAATTTGGCTAATTGTTCTTGAGATTTTTTTTTCTTCCTTAACATCCTGGATCTTTGCTCAAATAGTCTTTCCATTACCATGGTATTATGTCAATAGGGTGACAAGATCCGGAGACGTGATGAGTGGTCAAAGTGGATTCCAGCTTCCATGGAACATACATCATCATCAAAAGCTCTAACTTCTAGGTCCCAACTTGTAGAGCCTGCTAATGAAGACAATGCAAAGGGTATCTCTGAAGAAAATGTTGACTTTTCATCACATAATGCAGGTCTTGTAGAGAACAGATTGTTGAATGGAGGTGCTCCAGAACTTATACACGCTGGTAAAGAAGATGACAGTACATCTGTTCTGATTAATGCTGACAAACAGGCAGCAGGTGTCAATGCAATTCCAAATCCAGTTGCTGACTTGAGCATTAAGCTTTCAGATCTTGACACCGGCTACAATGCTGCATACCATACTCAAGGATCTAAGCCTGCAGTTTCAAGCTACAGTGTGACTGGCTTGGAAATTTTGTCAGATATCCCTGCACAGAGTCTTGGTGATCTATCTAATGATTTTTCAAACACATTTATGCTTGATGAAGAGTTGGAGCTTGAGCAGAAAACACAGAAGAATGATGGCATTTCTCCATTAAGAAGGTATTACTTGTTTTTGCATATTTTGCAGATTATAATTCATATTGCTCTTTTTACTTGATTATTTTGATTTGTTTGATTTGTGTTTTAATCATCAATAACTCTTCTCACATTTCACCTTCCATGAGTTTTGAGGTTGGTGTTATTCACTCATGCCACCTCATACGGGTTTGGATACAATATGGTTTTTGTATTTAACCAAGCTTACAAATTATATAATGGAAAATAACATCAGAGAAATGACCACCAAGTTAACATTTATCATACTATTTTTTTACCATTTGATAGAAAATATGCTTCAAAGATATTAGTCCTTTACTGATCACCTCTTTCTTCCTGTGTAGGACAGAACATACAATAAGACAGTGTTCTAGACCATATCCCAGACCTTTTCATTATTAATGTCTTCTTTATCTTCTAGTAGGGCATCTTCTTTCCTAGCCTTTGTGTGTTTTCTTCCACCATTGCTGTCAATTTCTTCATATAATTTATGAAAAATTAACAAAATCCTTAGGATAATGTAACTGCTTGTTCTTTTTAGGCTTATTACTTGAATAATCACCAGGTTTTAATAATTGAATTGAAAATGGTCTCGGAATCCTAGATCAGGTAATGGAATGGGAATGAGTCAAGTTGAATTGGCTGCCTGTGTTGTGAAGATTTTCACAAAATTAGCAAGACGACTCAAATCAAGCATTAAATGAAAAATTAAGCCAAATATCATAATAATCTTGTGGTTAATAAAAAAGTATAGTCAAAGAAATATTATTACAAATGGTGAATCTTTGAAAAAAATTACATTTTGATATGGTTGTGGTATAAAGCTATATTATTACTAATATTGATAGAAAAATTAGCATGGATTGATGGTCATTATATTGAATCATAGAGAAAATCAGATGATTGAAAATTAACCCTATTTTTCAGATCCATAGGCTCTTCCTACTGCTTGAACTCCACTCATACTAAAACAATTACTAAGTTATCTTGACATTTTGGTTCTAATGAAAAAGCATAGAGAATTGAGTTTTACAGGGGAGTTGTTCTTCTTGTGTAACCCACCAATTAATAAAAAGAACTTTGGTGGGTCCTTAGGGAAAGGGAGTGAAATGCTTTATGGATTATGCTAAGTATTAAATTAAGTACCCATCATCTACATCAAGAGAGAAAAAAAGAAGGAGAAATCTCAGTAATTCCACTTCTTGAGTAATGGTTCTTAGTCTAAAGGTATACTTGTTATGTGCTTCTTCATATTTGGTTTTCCCTTTTTGATTACCATCCATAACTATTTTCCGAGGAGAAAATTACCTAACATTCCTTTCAAAATAGAAAGAGACTATAAAACTTGTTAAATGGTACTTGCACTCACACAATTATGTTCTTCATTACCTCAAATTAACATTTTTTAATGCCTTTTCACCTCGTTGCCATAAAAGAAGGTCGTATTGAATAAGATAGAGATAAGGGTAAATGGATCAACTTAGAAATTTGTCCTTAATGAGACTAAGATGCCCCATAATGCATATGAATGCCTTCTTTCCTTTCCTCTATTGCACTCATCTGCAGGAAAGTATAGAGAGGTGACAGCTGAAACTGCCAGATTTCACATTTGTAGAAAAATTGTAACCTTGCCATTATATTCTCATGCGCTATGGAATGTAGCATTTTTGGTTGTTTCTTGCACTCCATAGTGATTATTCTACCACTTGCCCAGGATTGATGATGAAGAAGATGAGACTTTGGTCAATGATCCAGACGTTCAAAGACTTGTGATTGTCACTCAGGTAGATGTGCTTTGAAAAAATTTAATGTTTTTTTTTGAGCGCAAGCTCTTGTTATTTGATATTTCTAGGATTATCTATATCATCAGATTTCTTTAATAAAGTGATCAATATTCTCTCATAACATAACAAAATGCACAAATATGTTGAACATATTTGAATGAGGCTTATCCTTTTTGTTTCCCTATCTCTCCAATTAGGCAATGTGCCTGTTCTGACATGGTGAATAGAGCACAGATAAGGCTATCTCTTCCTTTCTTTTTATTTAAAACCTTAAATCTTGTTGAAGCCTTCTTTTAAATTAATACTTAGTCTTTGAAACACCACATTCTGGTCATTTAAGGTTGCCGCTAGAGTTGCATTAGGGGTCACTGGATCTAACAAATTTCCCAAAGAGCTCCATGACACACTACTGATGTAAGATAATGCAGTTAACTCACCCCATTTAGTGGGGTGAACTCAGCATTTTTAGGTCTTAGCATCCACTAGAGGAAGGGCATTGGCAGAACCACCATTTGGGCCTGCAACAGTCATAACTGTACTACCACACATTCCCAATATGATAATGGGCATAACTTGATTCTGATAGCTTAGTAACACCACGAGCTAGTCAGGCAAAGTGGAAGCTGAATCTGCTTTTAGTCATTGGCTTGACATAATCCAGGAGCAAAAGATAAAAAAATATATATATTTCTTTTAGCAGGAATTGGTGCAATACTGTTCACAATACATTTGGCATTTTTTAAATTGGAATTATTTATACTTTCTCTTAATTGTTTGATTATGTTATTTAGGATGATTTAAAGCGATTAACCACTCTGCCAATGGCTTCATTTTATGACTGATCTGCATTTTTTATTTTTGTGCAACCAAGTTTTCGAATTTGGTTAATCTATCACTATGGAATATAAAGAAAGATTTTTCCTTTTAAGGAATAGGTCTGTTGTTAATCTCTTTTTCTTCTCTCTGGCCTTTTGTCCTTTTAGCTATATGACCTCCTTGCTCAGCTATGCTTGTGAAAGCATTGATTTGTGTGTGCAAATATGGTAATGATTTTCTTCATCTATCTGGCCATCAGTTAGTCCAAATATTTAATTTCTGGGCCTTTGATATGCAGAATAGCAGAGCAACTGAAGGATTCAAAACTAGTGGTAAAGATTCAAGCACGATTTCCAAAGAGCTTGCTTCTGCAATTAATGATGGCCTCTATTTCTATGAGCAGGTTGAGGCTTTTGTTGTGTTATTGACAGGAACTGAATAGTTTAATTGAATTCCTGTGGATTTCCTTAATCTCCATGCCTAAAGATCTTTAAAACATGATTGCTATTGACAGGAACTTAAAACTAAGCGATCTAATCGCAGAAAGAATAGTTCTAGTTTTGAGAACAGAGATGGAAACTCAAGAGTTACCAGCAGTGCTCCAGGAGTGTCGAATTCAAAGACTAGTGAACATTCCACTGCAGGTGGTGGCCATGATGAGTCTGGTAGTTCTCATAACACAAGGAAACAACATAAAGGTTTTTCCAAGCAGCAGTCATCACATAAACAGCGATTCTTCTCATGCAACTTCAGGAATCATGGCCCTGGCCGTAATTCTTTTGGGATCATATCAGAAAGTCCACCGAGTAACTCAGTTGGATTTTTCTTTAGCTCTACACCTCCTGAAAATCATGGGTCAGTATAAAGTTACCATTTCCTGAGATCTGGAATTTGTGTTTGAAGCTTAAGTTTTCTGCTAGTTCTATTAGTATCGTTATTCTTCTTTCAAGGTTAAAAAATAAATAAAATCAAATTTTACCATGTTTTGGTAGAATGATATGGTGTTAATTAGATCAGCAGTTGGATACTGTTTGCAAGTTTCTAAATGATGTTTCCCAGTTGTTTGACTCGATTGTTTATTTTTTCACAAAGCTAATATGCACCTTGATCTCTATCTACAGTCCCAGGTCCTCAAAACTGAGTGTTTCACCACATGGCACTTTCTCGGGCAGTAGTCCACCAGTGGGTTCCATTCCAAAGTCATTTCCACCATTTCAGCATCCAAGCCATCAATTGTTAGAAGAAAATGGCTTTAAACAGCAGAAGTAAGAAAATTTGTATCAAGTGTGTGTATTTGGTCTGAAGTGATTTATTTTGCATTCTGAAAGCCAGCTCACTTATGTTTCTTAAGGTACCTAAAGTTTCATAAGCGTTGTCTAAGTGACAGAAAGAAAATGGGAGTTGGCTGCAGTGAGGTTTGTCTCTGAACTTGCTGTGCATCTTTGGTAGGAGAATGAACTTGAAGGCCTTTGTTTGGTTGTAAGAACAATATCTGTTTTCATTTCTGGTTTTCTTCATGGGAAAAACTAATGAATTCTAAATAGAAAATGATTGCTGGGGATCCTATCCAGCAATATGTTGCGTGATCCACATTCACATTGATGGAAAATCATGTTTTCCATTTTGACGCAATGTTCCTTTATTAAGTGAATAATAGAAAACTACCTAAATGAGATTTCTAACTTCTAATGTAAAGAACAAAATCTGGAAAATTATTTTCTGATCCTCCATATAGAAAATTTGAGCAACTAAACAACAAACTCTATTTCTCATTTTTCTAAGAATTTTTTCAGGTTTTATTTCCTACAACTAAACAAAGCCTAAGTTTCTTAATGTTTTATTTATTTTGGATTGAGGAAAAAGCAAGATGATGGGAGCTTTTAGAATACTTTTTCTCAGCTGGATTTTGCTTTTCCAATCTCACTTCGAACTTGCTGAATTTTATTGGTTATTCTTTGTGTGTGTGTGGACATGCGCACCCCTTCAGAGATAAAAGAGCAAAGTACTATATTGCACGATGTCAATGTTGGCTTGTGATGTTAAATCATTTCATATTGTCTCAAACATCAAGTCTGCTGGTGTATTATATATTATATATAACTTCTGTTAGCATATTGATTAATGGTTTATTGCTATCTTGCATAAGCTAATGGGATTTTGTCTTTTACACAAGCTTCTAAGAAGCTTCAAACATATTTCTTTTCCTGATTTGATTGCTTAGCTGTGTTTTCAGTTTCTCAAATTGTAGTATGCTGTTTTACGATGTTGTCAAATTATTTATTCTAGTGTACTTTGACATTTTGTGCATTTTCATGCAGGAAATGAATACATTGTATAGATTTTGGTCGTATTTCCTCAGAGATATGTTTGTTCCTTCTATGTATAATGAGTTCCGGAAATTAGCTATGGAAGATGCATCTGCTAATTATAATTATGGGATGGAGTGTCTTTTCAGGTTCTATAGGTACTGCTGATAAGTCATGCTTTTTTCACTCTGCTCACATATTAGAGCACTACAGTATAAGATATCTTCCCTGTTCCAACAAATGATGCTCTTTTTCTTGTACATAATTTTCATTGCTTTTCCTTGTTTAATCGAACCGTAGATACTGACTGTGCTTTCTAACTGTTGCATATGCTATTGTCAAGTTGCTTGATACTATCAATTTGTTTCATTTTTCAGTTATGGTTTGGAGAGCAAATTCAGAGAGGACCTATACAAGGATTTCGAAGAGCTTACTCTTGAATTCTACCGTAAAGGCAATAATTATGGACTTGAGAAATATTGGTAAAATTGTCCAAACCTTTTCTCTAACTTCCCTGATGCCGATTTAGGTTCCCACCTTGAAAGTTTGAGCAAGACATGCTTGTTTTGCAGACATAGGTGCACACACATGCACGCATTCATGTGCAAACTAATATATACATATAACATATATGAGCAATGGCATTAACACAAAAACATCTGCAATTTGTTTGATGTTGGAATTTTATTGCTGAAAATAATTTGTTACGGTGTGAAAAGAACATTGACAAAGAAAGTGACTATATGCATGCATACTCTTGCTGATAAATAAAGAAAATATACAAATTGGAGCGATAAGATATGCTCCTCTTGAAGAAACCAAGAATAGTCAGAAAAGTGATTACTGAATCAGCTGCTGCCAAGGTGAATTGTTTTCCAAAATTAGCAAATTGGTCGTATGGATACCAAATATAGAATTTTGTTAAATATCAAAATCTTGTATATCTAATAATTCATACTGATAAAAATATAATCGAAGAAATAGTTCATTACAAGAATTCATTATAAAAACATTTATTTTTACTAAATTACCAAATTATTATGAAAAATTAAGGGTTAATGATCCTTCTTTTGGGGGTGTTTGTCTTTGTTTAAAGAATTTAAAAAATTATTTTCTTTTGTTATTCAATAAAATTGTTCTTGGGATGCTTGTTACCGCATACTCACTTTGGTTTGTTTTTTTTTTCCCCCTTCTTTTTCTGAAACTTTTTCTTTAAAGTGTTTTACGTCATTTTATGAATTGTTTGGAAAGAATTCAAGGGAGCAGCATTTTTTTCAGTCTGATTTGGCGAAACAATTTTGATTCAATTTCTGATTCTGTTATTAAACCCTGGCTTGATGTCACCTCAAGCTCAAATGATTCACTCAAGGAAAAATAAAAAGATAACTAATTCTCTCACGGGCTGCAAAATCGCATATTAAGCCCAAAAAAAAAAAAAAAAAAATTGATACACTTGGTCCTTCAAGGCCGAATGGTTGGGAGAGGGGACTACCTTCTCCTTGTATAGGGGAATATCTTCTCCATTAATTCTTGATGTGGGATTTTGTTCCAATTATAAATTAGTATTATCATATATTTGTTTGGGATTAAAGCTTTGTCATTCTTGTTGATATTATTATCCTATGGTTCATTTTATTTTTACATCCCCTATTGTTAGAAAGATCTTGTAAGATACTAAATCTGATTTAAATTTTAACCATATTTGTATTGAAATTATGAATTTAGCCATTTAAATGGGTCAACAAACAACTTTTACCAAATTCCAAGAGACTAATGGTTTGAATGTTGTTGAGCGAGTTCATGTGTTTTCACTACGGGCACTAGTTTACTTATTTATCCCGAAAGTAGAATGGGAAGTGAAATTCACAGTATGCTATATTGATGCTTAAAACCCTTTTTGGGAAAGGGTGGAAAATGAGAGGAAAGAAAGAGCGAGAGGAAATTTTTGACAAGATTCCATTTTCCTTTGTTTGGGAGAGAGGAAAGCGAGGGGAAAGGAAACAAATTGAAAAACAGAAGGAAGAATCTATATGGGGCCCACAAAAAAAATTTCTTCCTAAATGTGGGAGAAAATTGGATAGAAAACATACAAATTAACCTTACAAAAATATCGTCAGCTTTAAAAACAACAGATAATTGTAAATTTACTTTCATTTAATAGTTTTTCATTCCCCTCATTCTTCCTATCCATACAAATGTATAGAGTAATTTTCACAACTCAACATTCATTCCTCTCATTTTCTTTCCTGTTTGTTTGCTTCCTCAATTTGTTCCCAAACATAGTATATGGTATTGTGATTCTTGGCATCAATTTTTTTCTTTTTTTTTTTTTTTTTTTTTTTCATTTAATAGTTTTTCATTCCCCTTCATTTCTTCCCTATCCATAACAAAATGTATAGAGTAATTTTCACAACTGCAACATTCATTCCTTCATTTTTCTTTCCTGTTTTGTTGCTTCCTCAATTTGTCCCAAACATAGTATATGGTATTGTGATTCTTGGCATCAATTTTTTTCTTTTTTTTTTTTTTTTGGAGAAGAATTCTTGGCATCAATTTTTTTCTTTTTTTTTTTTTTTTTTGGAGAAGAATTCTTGGCATCATTTTAGTCTCTTTTAATGTGTTAATTAATTAATTACGAATGCTACATTTATGTTGACATGATGTTTGTGTCATTGGTTCATTAATATGGGTATTATCGGGTTCATGCACCCAATGAGTTAGGTGGACATGTATGAGAGCCACGTATTCTGAACATTATACTTGGTTATCTTTGATTTTGAAATTAACAAAGAAAAATATAAAGTATCTTGAACGAGGATTGCAGCAACAGCTAGAGTTTTTCTTCTTTTTAGGTATATCACAGTATTACATATGTATTTATGGTTTTAAAGTGAAATATGACAAAAAAAAAAAAAAGAAAAATACTTTGTTGGTGTCTTAGTTTCAAGTTTCAGATTCGTGGAATTGTGCTTGATCGATAAAATCTCGTATCATCATTTTGTTATATCCTAGAACTGTTGTTTGTCGTAAACGAAGATGATCTCCCTGTTGCTATCCATTATACTTTCCATTTTATATATCTTGAGGAGATGACGTGCATTTATAGAATAATAGCAATGTTCATAACATTTGTGAATTAGATCTTGCTGCATTCACTGCTTGCTTATACAATGAGAATTTTGTCTATATGTTAGGGCATTCCACCATTATCGTGGGCTTCATGACCACAGAGATCCAATAAAGAAACATCCAGAATTGGATAGGTTGCTCAGGGAAGAATATCGCAGCTTAGAGGACTTCCGCGCCAAACAGAAGAATGTGAAAGAGGGAAGTCATTAACCAGCCATATGATCATTTCCTTGATGGTGATGTTCCTCCCAATTTTGAAAAATTAACTCTGATAAGCAGGGAGTGTGACTGAGCCTATATTTTGTTGAATGAGAGGAAAATTTGGTTTTTTTTTTTTTATTTTTTTATTTTTTGTATATGTATGGGGGAATTGTCATTTGCAATCTGTTAGGGCTGCTGACTACTGAGGTTTTTTTTTTTTTTTTTTTTTTTTTTTTTTTTTTTTTTTTTTTTTTCTCCTGTTTTGTTTTATTTTTGCCCCCTTTTTTCCTTACTGAGGTCTTGGGTGCGGGGTATAGTACTTCGCGAGTGATGGTATGCAAGCTTCTTTTTTTTTTTTTTTTTTTTTTTTTTCTCCTGTTTTGTTTTTATTTTTGCCCTTTTTTCCTTACTGAGGTTCTCTGGGTGCGGGGTATAGTACTGCTCGAGGATGGTATGCAAGCTCTGAAATGTGCCTGGTGATTGGCTGTTGCTCCAGTTCCCCCATGTTGTAACATGTACATAAAGTGAAAAATCGGAAAAACGGGAAAGAAACAAAGAAAATATTGCTGTACTGACCTTGTGAAAATCGAATAAATTGAGATTCAAAATTAATTTTTATGTCAAAAGTCTAACTTTTGTCTGATTGTTCTCCATTGATGTTATATTTTTTTTTTTTTTTTACTTCTGCTATTACATGGCTTGCAAACTGCAGTTTTTGAAGCTAATGCGGTTTTGATAATACAATTCAAAGCCTTAAAATTAAGATTTTCTATACTTAGTAGTGTTAAGTTGTTTAATAACATTTTGTCTCTGTATCACCTAAAAAATCTCAATTCAACTTCGGAAAAATTGAGAGCGTTAATACATTGCACAATTTTGAGGCTATAGGATTTTCAAGACGTCTATTGATCATTTGGAACGATTATTAGGATCTTGAGATAATTCAGTTCAATAATTAGTTTATTCATATGAAGATATGTGAGACGGGTAAAAACTTACGTTCCTTGCTACAATTTATTCCGTCCTCAAGCTCAAGGTAGAAGTCGAACTGAGTTATGGGAGAATTTAAACTACATTTTCGCTCTTCCCACTGTGTTTGGCTCGAGCTAGGTTAGATCTTTCTTGCCTTCTGCTTATTCATCTGCACCTGAAAATGATGAAACTGATTTGTGAAAAAAAGCAACAGATAGGATCACACCGCCATCAACAGGAAATCGCCCAACTGAATCTGAAAAGGAAAGTTGAATCCCACTCCCGAGTAACGGCTTGAGTTTGACCTTTTCTACGCTCAGTTATTAAGCCTTACAATACTTTGTTAAAATAGCCTTTTTTTTCTTTTTTATCTTTCTACTCTGGTTATAGAGCCGCTGCCTCCCGCTGCGTATAGCGTCTGTCTCTAATTCAATGACTTTCTTCTACGAAAAAAATAGTCTTGAACTCACGTAATTCTTGATCTCTTCTAATTTTATCTTAATTTGGGGCTCCTTTCAATTTGATCTTCAAGAGAGTTAGTCATATTTCGATCCGAGCCATTGTGGGTTATGCTAGGGGATTTTTACAACTATTTTGAGCTCCTAAGAGAGGAAAGGGGATTCCTCTCACTGTAGAAGTATCTTCATTGTGAGATCTGACTCGAGTGCTAGGTCCAATCCACTAAATTTTTTTTGTAAGTCACTACTTAAATTTCATTTTGAGATAAACTTGAGTTGTTTGACTCTATTTAAAAAATGCACTAATCAACAAAATTAATGAGAATTCAAGGACTATGTTTTTGGTTTAAATGATAAATTATTTGGTTTTGATTAATGTTCAATCGAATGAAAACAGAATTTAAGACGAGGAGAATGACATTTATAATAAAACAATAAAATAAAGCTATAAAAGAAGCAATAAAATAAACAAAACGAGGAAATAAAGAAAATTAGAAAATAAAAAAGTATTGTTTCTAGCCCTTTAATATGCATTCTAGGCAATCACACGCCTCCCAATTAAATTTTAAATTATAGAAAAGAAGAAAAATGGAAAAAAAGATTTTTGGTGGATTTAGCCTGCTACTCGAGTTTAGATAGTTAAATCTGCCTACTTATCCCTTAGAATGAGAATTAGGACCAAATAGTTCTTTTCTTTTGTGAAATGGAGATTTATTGATTTTAATTTTGAAAAAAGATTCATTGAAGATTTTAGATTTATCATATTTTAAGTTTTATGTCATTTTCATGAAAAAGATTGATTTTTGACTTTGGATCGACGAAAATGGACTTTTGACTTTGGATCATCAATATTTTAAAAAAAGAAGGCTTTTGTAAAGTCATTTTTAGAAGAAGAGATCAAAACACAGAGTAAAGAGACATAAAAGAACTTACCTTAGCTTTTTGGTGTATACCATGGGTTGACTGGAGGGCAAATCGACTTGGCTCCTTCTTCTTAGGTGTACAAGCAAGGTGATCGTTATGATTTATTCTAATTATTTTAATATTTAACATCCAATATGATCGTTAAAAAGTTTAGAAAATGTTTGGTTAGGAGTTACGATACCGCACTTTGGGCTTAGGCCAAACTCGCGAATTTGGTTTCAGATTAAGTTTGTACCATACTTGCAACCCATACATTCAAAATTCTGATTTTTGATTCAATAAAAATTCAAAAATTTTGAAAATAAAATTACTAGGTGTTTCAAAAACTAAAAAGGTAGAGTTTGACCTACCAAGGGAAAATCCACATGAAATTATCATGTAATAAAGGAGAATTAAGATTCAGCTACTGAAATCATGTCTAAAAATAGGTAGAATTTATATGAAATATATTTCTCCTTCTTCCCTCCTCTACTTCCATTGGCTCTCTCTTTAAGCTTGCTCGGATCTGTTTGGTTCTTTTTTTTCTTTTATCCGACGTTCAAATCACTTTCATCTTATTTAATTACTATCTCTAACTAAATCTTAAAAAAATAATCAGTTTATTTTAATATATAATATATCATTTATACTTGTAATTGAAATATGAATACTCAAGAATTGTTATAATATTTATTGTGTCCTCTAATGGGATGTGATACAAATATTTATAGTGTTCTTCATATTGTAACTGAAGATGTAAATGCCTAGCAAGAATTCTGATAATAAATATTGAGTGAGAATATTGGGCATTAATTATATTATTAAATCACTCTTAATATCTTTTTAACCGACCGTTACCTATATTTGAACTGATTTGAGTAACGCTCGGTCCATTTATTAATTGCTCAGCACATTCTATTAACTGCTCGGACCATTCTATTACTCGGCACATTCTATCTATTGCTCGACACATTCTATTGACTGTTCGAACTATTATGTTGCTCATCCTATTATGTTGACTGCTCATACCAATTTGTTGACCATCCCATTTCTATTGATTGCTCAGCCCATTTTATCAATTGCTCCTAACAAAAGTCCCTTCAAAATATATCGAATCATTTATGTTCGGTTGAAATCTTTAACATGCTTGTTCATCCCATTTTTTGTTCTCCCATTTTTTTTCTCCTCAATTGACTCTTTAATTTATTGTAGTCGAACACTTGTAACTCTTCTAGATGTGCTCTAATTGTCAGTTGCTTTTTTTTATATATATATATAAAAAAAAGTTATGCACATTTTCAGTTCCAGTCGTCGATTCAAGCATCATTTTTAATTGATGTGATTTTTGGAGCTTGTGCGAATAGAAGTGGTTAATTCTATCAATAACTTGTAGCCTAATTTCAAAGCATGATCAAATCAGGATGGACAAGACTTAGGTCCAGATTAAGTTGGGCAAGAGAATGACTTCAATAGCCATTTTTTATGTTCCCCCAAGTCGAAGGGGGTATATATATATATATTTTTTTTTTTTTTTCATCTAATGAAATTTCATATTTCTTTTTCTCAAGGCCTTTGATTTTGAGTTCTCTAACTCATTTCTATACCGAGCTTTCTTAGGCTCGCGATGTGTTGTTATACGCATTGATTGTAGGAGTAATTTGCTATTGTGTTTTGTATTTCTTTGATTTTTCTTAAGTGGAGAACGATGGAGAACAGGAGAACCATATGATAAATTTCCTTTTATTTCTTCAAAAATTAGTATATCTTGGATGAGCAATTATAATCGGTAACTTCCTTATTTATTTTTCCTCAATATTTTTTGCTCAAAAATTTGGTCTATGCTTGCTGGATTTTCCAAGCCTCATTTAGCTGAGCATAGTTGTTTGCTCGGGACATTAATTCTGCAAAAGAAAGCGGAGGATCACTATTAATGGAATCAAACAGTTTTTCATACTTACAATTTTTTTGACATGGCGCTAAAATTTATTAAGTACTCCTTGAGTGACTCTCCCTCATCCCTTTTTAAATTAAATGAAGTCTGATGAGATCTTTTTGCTTGGGATACATGTGACAAATCGAGCTTTGAAGGTAGAAGCTGGTTGAGCAAATGATGCAATTGATCCTTTCTTGAGCATTTGGTGCCACTCTTGTGCTGGTCCCTTCAAAGTTGTTGGGAATGCTTAGCAGAGCAAAGCATCTGTAGTTGTCTGGATGTGCATTATTATCTTGAAGTTAGTTAAGTGACTTCTGGGATCTGTTGTGCCATCGTATATTGAAATGTTGGCATTTTGAACTTTCAAGAAAAAGATACTTCAAGTATTTCTTACGATAATGGGGAATCATTCCTGAGCTCATAATCACTACTATCTCCTGCCACTCTATATTCTTTAAGGATTTCTATGAGTTTTGCTCATAATTTTCTTTGTTCACCCCTTTGATTTTTGTTTAGGAGTTTTCTTTGCTCATCCCTTTGATTTCTGCTCGGGAATTTTCTTTGCTCACCCCTTTTGGAATATTTATAGTGCTCCTGCTGTATGTTGTTTTTGTTCTCAAGAGGATTCAGTTTCCTCAAGGAGGTTCACTTATTCTTCCTCTTGAACAACGTGCTTCCATTTCGAAGCGAATAGCTATGTCATTGTTGGGAAGGTTGCTGTGGAGGAGGTTGAGATTGCATGAACCTAGCCAAGATGGATGCAAAATTGTTATATGCTTTTGCAAAGCCTTAGCAACTCGTGGATCAGGCGCTTGAGGTGGATTGGAGGCAGACGAATTGTTTCCATAAGTGGGAGTACAAGGATGGGAGGATTCCAAATTTGGGCTTTGAGCTCCCTCAGGCAAATCTTGGGATCTTTGGGATGCCATTGTGCTCAAGTTAGGGAAAGATCAAGATCCTAACGTGAAACGAAGGTATGTTTCACGCTCACCAGACCAATTTGATAGAAGTAAAATATGAATACTCGAGAATTATTATGAGATGTAATGTGTCCTCTAATGGGATGTGATATAAATATATACAGTGTCCTTCCGATTGTAACTGAAAATATAAATGCCTAGCAAGAATTCTAGTAATAAATGTTAAGCGAGAATCTTTGGGCATTAATTATATTATTAAATCACTCTTATTATCTATTTGATCAACCGTTACCTCTATTTGAACTGATTTGAGTAACGTTCACCCATTCTATTAATTGCTCAGCACATTTTGTTAACTGTTTGGACCATTATGTTGCTTGGCACATTCTATCTGTTGCTCGACACATTCTATTGACTGATCTGACTATTTTATTGCTCATCTCATTATATTGATTGATCATACCAATCTGTTGCTCATTCCATTCTACTAATTGCTCAGTCCATTTTGTCAATTATTCGTAATAGTAATTAAATTTATTTATTAATTTAAAAGGTGAGGACGTAATAAAATATTTATTTTTCCTGTTTATTTGGGATGAGAGGATGATATCATTTTTAGCTTTTAAATTTTTTATTTTGATAAAAAAAATTGATGGATTATTTAAAAAACGAAAATCTAATTGAACTGAGTTGATTCGCTCCGACCGCAGTCTAGTTGTCACGACGGTTTGACATCCGGTCCAGGTTTTTAAAACATGGCGACAAATCCAAAAACCTCCACCTAAGCATCCTTGCGCAAAGATACTTCCCACTTTCCTCTCCTTTTCTTGGCCTAACATGCTGCCAAGAAAATTTTCTCTTTCAATTCGAAAATATCAAAGAAGGAAAAGGGAATCGAATGGCGTCTTCCCTTGTTCTCTCCTATCCTTTCTCTTGCTTACCAGAGCGTAAGCGTCTTTCCCTCAATAACCCAATAAAACCTTTATGGGTCACCTCAATTCCTTCCCTTAGAAGACCCACAAAATTCCTTCCCTCACGTTCCTGCAAAATTTTGACTCGCGCTTCCATTAAAGATGCCGATACAAGTAGCAGCGGCAGTAGCTCCGTGTCTGATGATGCGATTGTAGGAGAGGACTCGGCAGCTTTTGAATTGGGGAAACAAAAGATATCATCTTGGATATATTTCAGTGTTATATTGGGAGTTGTTTTGTATGTGCTTGATTTTGCTTGGATTGATAACTCTACTGGATTTGGAAAGCTATTTATCGACGCTGTTTCCACTCTTTCTGACAGCCATGAAGTGAGTTTTCGTTGTTATTATAGTGTTTGCAGTAAATCCATAATCAACTCATCTCTTTTGTAAATGAGAATGAAATTCGTAGATGAATTTTTAAGTTTGGATTAAGTATATAATTCATTTTGAATTTCTAATTTTAGTAGCTTGTATATTCATTTTTGTTCTGTTGACAGAGATATATGCATCAAAGTACTCAAACTTCTAATCTATTTTGTTGAGTTTTTTGCAGGTTGTAATGTTAGTCCTGATACTCATTTTTGCCGCTGTTCACAGTGGCTTGGCTAGTCTAAGAGAACTGGGGGAAGAATTTATTGGAGAACGAGCATATCGTGTTCTGTTTGCTGGGGTCTCTCTTCCACTTGCTGTTAGCACTGTTGTGAGTCATTTCCTACCAACCCAGGGACTTTTTGCAGTTTTTGGTTTTTATTGTTCTATTTGTGGAAAACTGTTTTTATCTTTTAAATTACCAAATAATAAAAACAAATAGATTTTTCTTTGACAAATGAAAAACAAATACTAAAATAACAACCAACAGTGTTATGCAATTTGTGCAGTTTTATGTTGTTGTAATTTTAACTCCTCTGAAAGAAATTGGTCCTTTGATCTACTTTAGGTTTACTTCATCAATCACAGATATGACGGAGTGCAGTTATGGCAGCTTCAAAGTGCTCCACCACTACATCAACTTTTGTGGATTTCAAATTTTATCTCTTTCTTTTTTCTCTATCCTTCAACCTTTAATCTTTTAGAAGTAGCAGCTGTTGACAAGCCTAAATTGCATCTTTGGGAAACTGGAATAATGAGAATCACTAGGCATCCTCAGGTAAAGCCTAAATTGCGTATGCACAAAAAAATTTTGTTGCCAAGGTGGCGTCTGAAAGAAAACTTGATATGTATTTATATTGTGAATGCTATGCTAGAATTTGATAATCTTAAGGGCCTAAGATTCAGGTTCACCATTTTATGGCCACCAATCTCCGTGAGAGGCATGATGGATCTTTTTGGCTTTGCTAGATTAGATACTTTTAGCTGCAAAAGATGTGGTTATGTGACTGACATGAAGATGAAGTTGTGAAATTTCTCTAGGTTAGCTTGCAATGCTCTTGACTTGCTGAAAGCAGAAATTTGCTTTTGAAATTGTAGCTGTATTCTATCCCTTGGAAAGTGCTATTAGAACGACATAATTCAAACAATCCCTGCTGTAACATCATTCTCTGACACGCAAAAGCATAGACTTATTAGTTGGCAAATCTGCATGTTTTTCTTTTCAGATGGTTGGGCAGGTGATCTGGTGCTTGGCTCATACAATTTGGATTGGAAATTCTGTAGCTGTTGCTGCATCTTTTGGCTTAATTGGACACCATTTATTTGGTGTATGGAATGGAGATAGGAGATTAGCAAAGCGATATGGGGAGGCTTTTGAAGTTGTAAAGAGGAGAACGAGTATAGTTCCATTTGCTGCTATTCTTGATGGCCGCCAAAAGTTACCCAAGGATTACTACAAGGAATTTTTGCGGTTACCATACTTTATAATTACTGCCCTGACTTTAGGTGTGTATTTTGCGCATCCGCTTATGCAAGCTGCTAGTTCCCGGCTTCACTGGTAAAGTGGTAAGCATCTTAATCAGCATTTTGTCAAATTTGGGGTGCTTTGAAATTGATTATGGTTATTGTATAATACAAACATCATCAATTCTTATAGAGGAAATTAAGAAAATCGTCTAATCTGCACAATGTTTCCTGTGATTGGCAAGTATTAGAAAGATGCATAATTGCAAAAAGATAGAACTAGAACCAAAAGTGAAGGTAAATGTCAAAACTTTCATAGTATTGTTACCATGCCTATATGAAGACATTAGGCTATATTCGTAAGTAATAATAGAATGTAATACAATATGATCAGATGCACTTTAATATAAACAAATACTGAAAATTTATTGGATTATGTTATGTTTAATTAAGGTTTACCATAGGTAGCCCAAGTATTATTAGCATGTGTAAGTAGAAACATTAAGCTTATACTTGTCTACTCCTAAAATGGTGTAATGTAATGTAATGTAATCAAATATATTTTGTATATGTTTATGCTAAAAATGCATTTGGTTACATTCCATTACAATTTACAAATGTTGGCTAAGAAGCTTGTTTTAAGTTTTAGGGAAAGGAATATAACTTCAATAAAATCTTCGATACCCATGTGCTAGAAAAATTTATTTGATGTAGAAGATAAATTAAGAAGAATTATTAACAAATTCTGACTTTCCTTATTGCCTCCCTTCCCCTTTCTCTCCATAAATTAAAATACGCAAGTTAAAATACAAATAATGGAAATCTGAAGTATCTGGGGTTGTGCACTCAAAGAAGAAATGGAAGCATCAAAGCAACATTTACCATCCTTTTATAAGCGCGACAGCTTGAATAAAACAAGAAGAAAGGGTAGTAAGTATTGAAGCTGCGGGATTGTTGGTTAGCATATGTTGCAGAAAGCAATGCTTGAGGCAACTGGGAGATTTTGGGTACAATTGTGGAGGAAGTTAGATTGATGCATTTGTGGTGGTTTTTGGAAATGGGTTTGTTAAGAGGGAGGATTTTCTACTTATTGCAACACAAGTTTACCTGCTGATTGAGAAGATTTCTTGCAGCTTTTTTACTTTTTATTTTGACTTATTCCACTTTTTTTTTTTTTATCACATCTTTAAATTTTTTTACTTTGTAACTACAAGCTGGATTTGGTTAGCATATTGGTGAATAATAACATAAATGTATACTTTCATATTTCCTTGAACAAGAATTGTGAAGTGGGATTATAATTGTGGTATGCAGTTAATCATTTCCTTAAATATACTAATTCAAAAGCATGTTTTATATAAATGAATTCCATGAGGTCTTATTTTATTTTCAAAGATGTATTAATTGCGTTTTGGTGTTGTCGATTATACAAAATTTTATATGTATAAATATATCTATGTATAAAAGTTAACTTAAAATAGTTGTTCTACATCAAGCCATAACCCAGTGTTAAGTGCATATACGATCCAGCAATAGATCCATTACATGTCAATTTGCTGTGTTCTAGTGGAGACTGAGTAGGGATGATCAGATGACCCGATCCGTTGGATATCCGATCGGATCTGTTAAAGTTAATTTTTTATTTTTTTACCTTTATGCTTTTCTTCTTTCTTTTCCATTTATATTTTAAATCCTTATCTTCAGTTCTTTCACCATTTTCACATTTTTTTTATTTCTACTTCAAATAAAAGAATATAAGTCAAACATTATGACCATTAGTATGATTTCTTTTGCATTTAATAATTCTTAAAGTCCTTTCTAATTGTCATAATATCCAATATTTCAATTATTGTTAAGAATTTTTGTATTTTCAAGCATAAAAAATGATATGAATTCTTTTATTAAATTATTATTTTATTTTTATTTTTATTTTAAACATAATAAAAACAGATAATATCCAATTTGACCCAATCCGCTCCGATTCAATTTGAATCCAAGCAGAGTGGATATAGATATGGATATATGAATATCTTCGTAGATCGAATATGATTTTGTATGGTCGGATTTGAATCCGATCCATGATCATCCCTAGAACCGAAGAAGATGTCATGGAGGATCGCATTAGGGGTGAAGTGAGTATATAGTTAGTAGGGTTCAAATTTAATTGAATGTTTGTATAAAAGAATTGAACCCAATTTTAAATTGTATAAAATCAAATCAGTTTTAGTTTAATTTTTTAATTTGATTATTTTTTTTGGATTAAATCAATTTGGTTTATAGGGGGTTTAGAATTTTTTTTTATTTATATAATAAAAATTGAATTGAATCTTAAAGAATTTAAATTTTTCTATCACAATTGGAACCAAATTGAATTTTTTAAAATCAAATTGAAGCGAATAAAAAAAGATCAGTTGGATTAGATTTGATCTGTTTTATCTCATTATGCTTGGCTAATCTCATGGTATTGTTAGGGATAAAAGATTAAGCATCCATATCTTATTTTGGATATAATTTGGTATTGTCCATTGGACTTAATTTTTTTTGTTTATATAATAAAAAAAGTTTTCGAAAAAAATTATTAAAAAAAGTAATTTTGACAATAAAAACCCTTTCATAAAAACAGAAATAATCCTCGACTTTGAAGGCAATATGCAGTTTGTCTAAAAATAAACTTTTTGTATAGTTACCTCAATTTTGCACCAAATGATTAAAAAAAAAAAATCATGTTTTACTAAAAGTGATTAAATAATAATTTTTAATATCCTTAACTAAAAAACTAATTAATTTAAAAAGAAAATGTCTAAAACAAAACATCTAAAAGATATTTAATATTTTTAACTAATAAATTTTGTTGGCTAAAATATTAAAATTTTATTATTTTATTTTATTTTTGATAAAAAATTGGCTTTTAATCATTTCGTGCAAAGTTGAAGTGATATTTTTATTAGAAATTGTACCCTCAAATTCACAAATAAACTGAGTACTATTCTTAAACACTTGTATTTTATTTCCCTTCCTTTTACGCCAACAACCATTCAACCAATTTAATATATAATTAGAGTTATCGTGATGAATTTTGGAACTGATATTTTATTTTTTAATTAATTTGATTATATACAAAATACATGTCCCATTTTAAAAAATAAAATAATATATATAAGTACAACTGTAATTAAAACATAATAATGTGCAGAGCTCAGTATAAAGATGGATACATTTTTTTATACATAATATTATACTTTCAAATATTACCAAAAACTGAAAATTATTATAACTTTGCAGAGAAAGAAGCAAAGCTTCTCTGAATCAGCAAGATGTCTGCCTCCTAAGAAAAATTTATAGGAGGAGGTGAGTTTCACAAACTCAGTAAATAATAATAAATAATGCATAGTCTAAACAAATATGCAAGATGCCTTTCACATTTATATAATGAATATACATTCAGTCAAGTGCATGTTACAACATCAGTATCCATTTAAATAATATCACCTTTAATTAATCACATTAAATGGAGATTTGTTAACGGCGTCACAAAATCCTCAACAAATCACATATGGTTTATCCTCTCGTACGGATACATGAGAGAGCTGATCCCATACATGGTTTTTCTATTTTCTTGATAACCGGAGTCACTTTGAGAGGAAAATTACTTTATATGGGAAACATTTATTTTGTACATCCTGTTTATTTTATATTCATGTTATCTTACCATAATTTTAATTACAGTTAAACCTGCATAAATTAATACTCGATAAATTAATGACTTTCTTTAAAATAATATTTTTTTTTTCCGGTCCAACTAGGTGTAATTTACAAAATTAGTAATTTTGATAAAGTAATAAAAATAAATAATTTTTAGGAAGACCTTTATATAAATCTATATATACAATCCTGTCAATATCATAAATTAATAATTCCATAAAGTTACAAATATAATTAGGACAATTTAGTAAAATATGAATCCAGTGTTGTTTGTTTTTTCTTGAAATTTAAATCTATATGGATTTCATCTTCAACTTTTCTCGTTTTATATGTTATGTACTTAATTTCTTTTTAAATTAATTCATGAAATATGACGCATACATGATTTTTTATATACTACCTCTATTTCGTTATACTTATCACATTTAGAATTTCACTTCTCTTAAGAAAATTATTAAATTTATCTAAGTTACAATAAATTATTAAATACTCATTCTGTCCCAAAATATAAATCATTTACGATTTTTGCACAATGATTAAAGAATCGATTAATTCTCTTAGATTATAACAAATTCAAGAGTAATTTGATCAAATTATTTTTTTATCTTAAAACCAATAGTTGTTTGTGAAGTATTTATTGTATTTGGTGTAAACAAGGGCAACATTGAAAAATTATCATTTGTTACTTATTGAAATACATAAAATGACTTTTGTTCTAGGACAAAATAACAAACCAAAAGCAACTTATATTTTGAGATAGATGAAGTAAATTGACTATATTACTTAATTTAATACTAATTTTCTAAGAAAACTATTAAATTAAAGTAATAATTATTGGTCATATATAAAGGATAAATATATAAAAAAAATATTTATTACCTCTGAAAACTATAAATGTGACTCGTATTTTAGAACAAACTATTTTCTCAAATGTAATAAGTATTATGAAAACGGAAATAATAATTAAATTTATATTTGCCTCGGAAAAAAACCTTTAAATTAGTAAATTATTTAATTTGTTGATTAATTAATCACTCTCTAAGTTAATAAAATTTCATGGTCCCAACATTATTAATTTGTAGAGGTTTAATGTATTTTGAAAAATTAAAAAAAGATTTTACGGATGAAAATCAAAATTTAAAAAGGTTTGGCAATAGGTAAAAACTTACTAAAAAGTGGAGTAGATTTGTTTTTAAATCCCCGCGGTAGAGCCGGGTCCGCTGTCTCTATCACCAATCTTTACCCGTTTTCCGTTGGGAGTTGGGCTAGACAAGTAAGAATGATAATAATAAATAAGTGAAATAATACGTGGAAACCTGATATCGCAACAAGTGAGCAAACGGACGGGAATTCTTTACTCTTTTTCTGATTCTAAGATCTGTATCTTTGTTGTTGCCAAATCCTTTTTCTCCAGGTACTTATAATTTGCTTCTCCTCCCTTCTCATAAATATAATTTTTACTGTGTAAACTGTTACCGTCTTCCCTTTTTGGGATTTCAACGATTTCTGTTCTTCTCCTTTTTGTAAACTCGATACGATTTCGCAGACACAAAAACCATAACTAATTCTTTTTCTAAACCCTTGTTTCCTCACGGAATTATATGGGAAATGAACAAATTACATAATTTGTTTTAAAAAAAATGTTTTGGGGGGGGGGGGGCACGGATATTATATGGGAAATGAACCAAATTACATAATTTGTTTTAAAAAAAAATGTTTTGGGGGCGGGGGGGGCGTTTACGATCTCAGCTTCTATTCTGAATTGTAATTTACCTTTTATTATCCAACATGTGAGGGATTTAGAGATGGGGGGGGGGGGGGGGGTTTCGATCTCAGTCTATCTATTGTAATTTACCTTTTTATTATCCAACATTAGGGATTTAGAGATGGGTAAATGGGTGGAAATGGCTTTCATAATTTGGGTTTCTCTTATTCACTATTATTTTATTTGTTATAAATTTTATTTTGCATTTTGAATTGACAGCATCTTTTTGTGAGTTGGGTTTTGTTCAATGAACAAGTTTGTTGGGACAAAGATAAAAACCATTTTGAAATTGTTTTATGATTTTGGGTTTGGTTTTTGGCATGAAGATAGGTTTGGTGAATGGGGATTCAAACAATGGGATCTCAAAGTAATGGCCAACATAATCATGTACAACCATGTCAATTGACAAGGCAAAATTCGTGGTATAGCCTAACTTTGAATGAAGTAGAAAACCAATTAGGAAATCTAGGAAAATCCTTGGGGAGTATGAACCTTGATGAACTTCTTAAGAATGTATGGAGTACTGAAGCTAATCCGTCCTTGGGGATGGACATTGAAAATACTTCCTCAGCTTCTTCTCTCCAGCGCCAGGCTAGTCTAACATTGGCTAGGGCGTTGAGCGGGAAGACTGTGGATCAGGTTTGGAAAGAGATTCAGCAGGGTCAGAAGAAGAGGTTTGGTCAGGACTTGAAAGGTCAGGAGGGGGAACCCCTACTTGGTGAAACAACTTTGGAGGACTTCTTGGTGCAAGCAGGCCTTTTTGCTGAAGCATCAATAAGTCCTTCTGTGGAATTGATAACTGTTGATGGAGTGACTCCTCAAGGTTTCCCACAAAAAATACTCTTGTCTTCATCACCATCAACTGGTACTTTATCTGACACTACTACATCAGGGCGGAAAAGGGATGTACCAGATGCTCTTGAGAGAAGTATAGAGAGAAGGTTGAGGAGAAAAATCAAGAACAGGGAATCTGCAGCCCGTTCGCGAGCTAGAAAACAGGTTTTCCTTTCGATGTTTGGATATTTGTTTAATTTGTTTGGCTTGCCCTTAAGTTTGTTTAATCATTAACCTAACACCAATTGTCGAAATATCCAGGCTTATCATAATGAACTGGTTAGCAAGGTTTCACGCCTAGAGGAGGAGAATAAAAAGCTGAAGAAAGAGAAGGTAGGAATCTGTTATATTTACTTTTATTTTTTCAGAGATGCTTATTGTTTCTTATTTTATGATAATTTTGAAAATTCTTTTCCTTCAATCCTCTCCCGCCCAAAACACCCCACCCTAAAATTTTTAAGCTTTGTGAACTTTGTTGGACATGAGTGTTACATCCCAAAACACTCTGATAACTTCATTCAGAAGCTTTCTATTCAGTGACCAATGAAAGGCTTATATGTCATGGGGCCCACTAGATTTGCTTTTTAATTGGATAAGTAAAAGCAGAAATTTGTATTGAAATTATGAGGAAATTGGATTATCCTTAATTTGAAGAAGATATCCTTAAACTCATTCATGTAGAGACTTGACACCTTTCCACCGATAACTATGCTCCATTAAACTCCATTTTATGAAATACTAACCTTCCAAAATATGCATATTGGCTGATCACATTTTATTTATGAAACGGGTTGGATTAATATTAGTCTGGATACAACAAAATAATTCTATTAGATCAAATGTACTTTTTTGATCTATTAAGTACCTTGTGCTGGAATTGAGAAATTCAAGTTCACAGCATTAATTACATGCTGATTTCAATTCCAGGAGCTTGTTTCCCTGGCTTTCTTTAGATTTTTTTTCCCCCTTATCATCTCTTTCTAAAAATTGCTTATATTATTGTTTACCATTTGACATCATCCTTCAACAGAAAAGTGATAAATTGCCATGCGTACTGCAGACAATTTCATGTTTATGCATAGCCATCTGTGCTTCTATGAAATTATATTTTTTGCCTTATGTTTGCATTACACAATCATGCATGCTCCAAAAATATTTTATGAATGGGTTTGGCAGTATATTTCTAAGCTGAAACTTGTGTGCTATGCTAATTTTCTAAGACTCCATAAGTTGCTACTATTGGTTTGGAAATTATCCTATTTTCAACAAATATTGATATTCAACCTTATGTCTTCTACTATTAATTTATTGAGGATGAGACCATTTTTAAGGGTAGAAGTAGAAATGATTGCTGAGGTTTTTGGAAGTCTAAGTTTTAGTGGTTTCCAATGTCAATGCTCAAGACTCGACCAGAAACTTAATTCCAAACTAGTTCGGGTTGGCTATATGAATCTTTTTCTCCATTCCATCCAGTTTGAGTTTACTTCTTTAGAAATATCTAGGCTTCCTATATCCTTTTCCACTGCTTTCCTATGTCAGCTCAGGCTTGTATTCCCTTTTCTTGTCTCTTACCACTTCAATTTACTTAGCTTTTGTGGGAGATTATTTTATTGGTCTACAATGCAAGTGTCAAGAATCATCTCAATATTTTGCTCATAGGTTCCAGTTTAATCTTTTTCAGATATTTGCTTTGCAACCGATTCTTGTACATATCCATTTTAGCATCCTTATTTCAACCACTTCAATCTTGTGTGAAATGTTTTTTACTGCCCAATGCATTAAAGCTGGCAGGATTACAAGGTTTCCCCTTCAACCTAGTTGGCTCTTTTGCAACCTTGCCACTTCATACATCTTATCTTAATCTCATAGCTAACATCTTCCTATTTCGATCTATTTGTTCAGATCCTAAATATTTGTAACTTGTGCTACATGGACATCTGTACCATCTAATTGTTTCGGGTAGCACTAGTTGAGGCGACATTTCCGTGGTACACATACCAAAGGGGCCTGAGGCAATGTTTTCCTTTTGCACACACAGATTGGATATACTTGCAGCATTGGACAGTCAAATGACATTGTCTTTGTTAATGCATCGGTACGAGTCCGAGAAAAAAAATCCGAAAAGAAGAAGGGGGAAGAAGGGGGTTGCTTAATGCATCGTACGAGTCCGAGAAAAAAAAACCGAAAAAGAAGAAGGGGGAAAGAAGGGGGGGGGGGGATGGATTTAATGAACATGAATTTGGAACTGCTTATAGAAAATTCCTCACCTTCAAAGCTAATTCACTTTTCTGGTGTGGCACAAAAAAAGGATCAAATTCTTGGGGGGGGGGGGAGGCATAATGAACATGATTTGGAACTCTTATAGAAAATTCCTCACCTTCAAGCTAACTTCACTTTCTGGTGTGGCACAAAAAGGATCAATTCTTTTTAGTTTTCAAGCATTGTTTTTCCCCTTCTACTTTTGTTTTCTTCTCCATCCCTTCTTGTTTGTAGATCTGTTTTAGTTCATCCATCTTTGCTCTACATGATTTGAATTGTCTGATTTCCTCTTTTGTTCTTTTGTTGTGCATTTTTTAGATAGGGGTCTTGGCAATAATGCGAGCTTAATGATGAACTAAGTGGAAGAGAAACAAAGGATTCATACAGCAACTCCGACTAGTTTAGGATTAAGGCTTAGTTGTTGTTATATTAGATAATGGTGTTACCCTTCTTATAAATGTAATTGCTTACATTGTGGAATGAAATATAATTGCGTAGGCCTGGAATTTTAGATGTTTATTGAATGCATTAATTAGAGTTAGACAATAACAATAATTAAAGAAAAAATGAAAAATTAAAGAAAGAAAAAAAAATCTGGTGATTTTGATGTCTCATTTCTAGTTTTTCCCCTCAATGCCTTTCGTGTGTGTGTCTCTTATCCTTTTTCTTCTTTTATTCTGTCTTCAGGCAACCTTATAAAAAAACAAATTTATAGTGTAACAACTATTTTTCCATATACAGTATGTTAGGTTGTGTTGCTGCTAACTTTGTTTTGCCTTTAATTAAAATATCATCATCCTAAAATGTGTCATACTAACCACGGAATTGAAAATTCTACCATGAAATGGCTGATATGTTATAATTGGTTAGACAAGCTAAAGGTGGGCATGATGGCATTGTTCTTGGAATGTTGTCATGCCACCATTTTTTTTTTTCATATTAAAAAGGTTATTTGTTTTAGTCATGAAAGCTCTTTCTAAAAATTTTCTTTCATTATTAGGCTATTAGAATATTTAACTTTTGAATATACTCAATTTTGGCCTACAAATAGGGCAAAGATCATTTTGATATTTTCAGTTCTTCATCTAAATTATTCTTTTTCAGCTCATTTGATGTATAAGTTAAAGTTAATTACAAAAAGAAAATCTTAAGCTTTAAACTTCAATGCAGATACCTATGAATCATTCTTTTTTTTTTTTTTCTTTTAACCTCTTTGCCCGAATTGATCATTGTTGTTGAGAGCCCGCATAAGCCCAAGGTGCATCCAGACACAGTGTCTGCCCCTCAACTACGTTGAGGAGGGCCCAATCTGGCCAGGCTCACCTAGGCCCACCAGGCGCTGAAGCGCAACCTTGGGCTTAGGTGCACCTGTTTCTTTTAGTTTTTTCCTTACTGTTCTAACTAATTTGTGGAAACGATGAACATCTATTTATAATTCTTTGTTAGTCTTGATTATTGATTAGTCTAAGAACTATAAACGATTGAAGGTTTTGATACATTGATTTAATTTTAAATTACTTGATTTTGACATTTGTATATTGCATCTTTCGGTCTCTTTTTTATATTTAAAAAAAATTGATGAGAGTTTAGTAGTATTTTTATTATATACATGTCAGAAATTCTTGTTTTTAGATTCTAACAAAGTTTTGACTTTTGTTTGCAATGCTTCGGTTGCTAAACTATCTGCTTAGGCTCCAGGACCCTTTGCACTTCGGTACACCTTGGGCATTTAACAACACTGAACTTGTTGTTAGTCAAGCATTCATGTGCTTAATAACCTGTTTTCCACATTAATGTTCTGAACAGATGGTTTTTCATTTTTCAATGTAAATTGAAACAACAAATTTTATGGAAACTTTGGATGAGTGGGGTATGTTCTTGATCTTTTTGTTGCAAGTTCAATTGTTAACAAAAGTGTAGCATGTCGCCTTAAATTATTTTTGGCATTTCAAAAGTTGCACTTTCAGTGTCCAGAAGATGTCTGTTGGTTATGATTTATAAGGACTTCCTCAGAATGATTCTTCTAAAGAATCATTTAAATCCACTTATTGTTTTGTAGTGATACAAGATAAGAGGAATTGGAATCTAGTTGGCATGACTCATTTCTAATATATATATAATTGGTCTCACCATGATGGTGAGTCTTTTTCTCTATCTTAGAGTTTGGTTTATAGTTACTTTGTTCTCATATAGGAAACAGCCTGATTGCGGACGCTTCATTCTCATCTCAATGAAATAATGGTGCTAGTTCTACTAGGAGTCTAAATGTCATTTGTTTGTGTTATTAGTAACTATAAGTGAACTACTCATATATGAACTTAGTTCTGCTGGTGGAATTTAACATGTTGTTGACACAAGTCTTAGTTTTCCTGTCGCTTGTGTCAATGACTTCTAAGTTACTTGTCTGAGATAACTGGATGCTTAAAACTCACCTCATGATAGGTGTGGATGTATATCGGAGGTTTGACTTGTTTAATAGATCTATCATATGTTACCTTGGATATACTTAGCCAGTCACTTGGCTGAGTATATCCAATTTGAATAATTATAATGCATTTGGTATCTCATATAGACATGAGTACTCCAGTAAATATCCTGGACACTGAGGAGGCATGATTTCGTTTGTAGTAGTTTGAGTATCTGTATTTGAATCCATCTTGGCTGTGCATTCTCCCAGTCCTCGATCTGCTTTGCATTTTGTGCCTGAGAGTTTGTGCATCCAAGCCCCACACTACACACCAAACATCACCATAATGGACTACTGCATTTGAGCACGATATTCCACAACATTAATTATTAAATAATTCTCTGCTGTTCTGAACTATTTTGCTAAAAATTGCCTGTATAAAGCTGAAACAAATATCAATATCTGGTGTTTTTTCTCCTTATATTTACGTAATAATAAATTGGCCGTGCATATGAAAAACCTGAGAGTGAACTATATCTGCACAAATTTTCGGCTGTTAAATGTTCAGTTGTACCATAAAATGCATTTCTTGATGTCCTTGCCATTTTTTTCATATAGAAGTAATTCTCTTTTTGCTTTCAGGCAAATGCAGGTCCTAACACCTTCTCATTTTGCTTGTAGGAATTTGAGGAGATGTTTCCCTGTGAACCTTCATCAGAACTAAAATACCAGCTTAGAAGAACGAGCTCCGGTTTGTTCTGATATTTGTATCTGATATGAGGAGTTTTATAGTTGGTCCAGTTGTAGTGCTAGCTTCTTGGGTCTTGAGGGGAAAACTATACTTGCCCTCTACTAGGTTTTGGTTCCATGTACATTCAAAATTAACTATATCTTCTTATACGGCACAAAATGTGCCATGTTCATATGTTCAGTCAGGGTCTGCCTTGTTTTGCTTGCTATCTGCAAATGAAGCAACAATTGGTTTTGTTCTCTGTTAAAGTTTTGAAATATTCATAAAAGCCATATAAAATTGTAGCGGATACTGGATAAATTATGCCACTCATCATAGATTTACAATTTTGTAATTGCGAAAAACATCCTAATTTTAAAAGAAAGAAAGACTGAAATCACCTTTGTTTTTCCTTGAGGCTTGAAAAGAAATGGAGGTGACCACCTTTTTTTTTCTTTTCTTTTCTTTTCTTTTTTGCGTGGGAATAATATTAGCTAAATTATTATTTAGTCCTTTAATAAATGGATACTTGAAAAGACAAATTAAAGCATTTCACATGTGGTCTTTTGCCTTTTGTGAAGAGTGAAAGATCTCGAGCGCGAGTCCTCTCGATCATAAGTGCTTTCATCAATTTGGTGAGTTCAGGGGAGAATTACTCCCTCTTGTGTGCCCATAGTGTTATTTGAGCCCATCCGCCTCTCAATGAATGTAAAAAGGGATATTGTAATAAATATCGTGTTTTGAAACTTTGTTTTAAAAAAAGTCAGTTTGACCTTAAATATTAAAATAATGACATTTTCATTATTCATTTGCTATCTTTTCTTTTTATTGTCACCTTTATCATTGCCGTATCGTCGTCGCATTTTCTATTGTCATTATTGTCGCCGTTGAAAGTCGGTTGCAGGTCACCAAAGTCGATTATCGTGGTTAAATCACAGAAGCCATTTCTTTTTAAGGTTACTTTTGGTATTACTTAATTTGCTTTTTACCAAAATTAACATGATGTTAATTTGTAAACCTTTCATTTTCCAAAAAAAAAAAAAAAAAAATTGCCAAAAATTAAACATGATGTTAATTTGTAACCTTTCATTTTTCCAAAAAAAAAAAAAAAAAAAAAATTGTAAACAAAAAAAAAAAAAAAAAAAATTGTAAACCTTTTTGATATTTTGTTTATTTTGAAACTTTATTTCTAACATCTATATATATATAGCAAAATGATGTGAATTGACAGTTTATTATTTGAGTATTCTATTTTATCTTTTTTTAGTAATTTTTGAATTTTTTTAATTTATTTTTCTATGTTTTGATTGGATGGTTATATTTTTTTTAATTTTAAAATTAATAATTATAATATTTAGATAATAGCAATATTATTTTGAAATCTAATCTAGTTTAACAATTATTCTATTTTATTTGGTATTTAATTTTTATTTTTTTAAAATTTTGAAAATTTTTAATTTCAATTTTTAGATTTTTTTCTTTATTTTTCTATATTTTGATTGGATGGTTATATGGTTTTTAATTTTAAAATTAATATTTAGCTAATAGGCAATATATTTTGAAATCTAATCTAATTTAACAACTATTCTATTTTATTCAATATTTGATTTTCATTTTTTCAAAATTTAAAACTTTTAAAGATATTTTGGCTTTTGAAAATTTTTAATTTTATACTTATATTTGTCTTTATATATAATCATCATAGTCAGTGGCTTATTTGTATCTATATATAATCATTATAGTCAGTGGCTTATTTCGCTTTCTTTCTTTTATTAATTTGTTGTAAGTTGAATTTTTTTTCTTTTTTTTCTTTTGTACAGCGCATTAGTTAGTGTATTACATATATCTTCAAAAAGAGTATTTTGCTTCCGTCATCGTTCCTATCTGGCAATAACATTCAATCAAAATTGTGCATGATTTGGAGTTATATGCTTAAAATTGTTCCACTTGACTTTGAAGCTGCGATTTTTCTCTTTTTAAAATCTCGATTTGTACCATTGTTTGAGATCAGTTTGTTTAGAATCACATGCACCCATCAATTTATTTATTTTTAGTGTTCTTTGTTGCCTTTATTAATTATTAGTACTCAAAAAATTATGTTAGTATAAACTCTTTTTATTTTTCAGTACAGCTTCAAGTAGAAAAAGAATGGTTTTGTATATGCTGAGTTGGTATTAATATAAACTTTTGCATTTACAACACTATTTCCTTCGATTGTGGTGATGCTAAACGATTTAATTTTATTGATGTATAAACTTGACCTTTGTGGGATTAGCTGAATTTTTCAAACTGTTGAATGAAGTAATTATGAATGCAAAATATGGTCATTGTTCCATGTGTATACATATTATAGATTTTATTATTTTAGAAAAAACTATTAAACAAAAATCTTAAATTAGTTTTTTATTTTTAAAATTTTATATTTATGACTATATTTGTTGGTTCACAACTATAAAAATAAATTTATTAGTTCACACTAATTAAGAGACCTTTTTATTTTTTATTGATTTATTAGTAAATACAATTTATGAAGTATAAATTATAATATATTAATAAAATAATCTTTTAAAAAATAATAATAAAACAACCCGTGCATCGCGTAGTTTATTAAGTTTCTCTGTAAAAAAAATCATTCCCCATGTTTATTTCGATTAACAAATATTTTGTTAAGTGGATGAAAAAATAATAGAATTTTTTTATATACGTTAGATGATTATTAAGTCATTTAAATTTAATATAATCTATCTTTATTTCTTCTGTTTATTTGTTATTTTTGAATAAAAATTCAAATTGGTCATTAAATTTTATTTTTTATGCTCAAACTCAATTTCTCTCCAAAAATACAATAATTTTGCAAAATTTTTAAATAATAAAAAGTATTTCTTGCATTTATGATTGTCACATGAGAATCGAATCATGAGTTAGAAGTCTCATTTTTTAAATTGAGAAATAAGTCGAATAGTAGGATTGGAATAAAGCTCAAATTGTCCCCCTAAATTTGGGCCAATATATAATTTGTACGAACTAACTTTTTATACAATTTACTCCTCCAACTTGCAACAAAAGTACAAAATGTCCGATTTTTATTCTAAAAAAAATTTAATATAAATCAAATATGATTAAAAAGTAATTAAATATTTGATCTAAATTAAATATAATTAAAAATAATCAAATAATAAATAATAAATATTTATCAAATAATTAAAATAATAAATATATCAAATAATAAATAATAAATATTTTTCTAACCAAATATTTCAATATAATGAAAATTTTATAATTTTATAATTTTTTTAAATCAAATATTTGTTAAAGTATTTTTAAATCAAATACTGTAAAGTTTTATAATTATTATTATATTTTTTATTCTCTAATTTTAAAATTTTTAGGTTATTTTTATTAGTTAAAAATACAAAAAATTTCTTCAAAAATTGGAAATTTTATTCTTTTAGTGAAAATTTAAGGAACAAATTGTACAAAAAGTTAATTTTAGGTAAATTGTATGTCGTACCCAAGTTCAGAGGGCAAATTGAATCTTATTCCAATAAGATTCACTATAACTTTTGAACATTAATTGAAAGTATAGTCCCTGATAAATTTATTAAAAAGTATTGAATATTCAATTGAAAATTCTAATGCCAAATCATGTATTGAATAAAAATCTAATAACTGAAAATTGTTTCTAAATTCAAAATATCAAACTATTAAATTAGAATTTGAAAATGAAAATAAACTAAATTTATATTGTTTCGTCGATCTTCATCATCTCTAATTTAAAGCCCTTCATCCTCATCCTCATCATCTCCTAACATAACTATATCCTCTTTCTTTTTCTTTTTCTTTTTTTCTATATTTACTTCTCCACCACCATTTATAATTTGTATTTTTTTTTTCTTCTTCTTATCTACAAGTTTCCTTTTTTCTTTCATATCAAACTTCAAGTTTCTTGGCTCTACATATGTAAAACAAATTATATAAAATATCAGAAAAATAGAATTCATAATTTATTAAGAAGCAATGCTTAATATAAATTTCTCATCATAAAGCTAAGATAAAAATATATATAAAAAAAGAAAAACTAATTAAGTAGTCTTTTTTCTATAGCACTAAAAATTTTAAAAAAAAAAATTCAAAGTTTCAAACAATAAATAAACATAATACTGGGATGCTTTTTATCTCTTGTTAAAATAGCTATGCACATGTCAAACAATCCCTCTCATTTCTTGAACTTTTCGAATTGTTGATCATTTTAAATTTTGGTTTCAAGATACATGTCCATCTTCTATATTGTCTTCTACAAATTAATTTTCACTTCCATATCCACATCCACATTAAAGGAATCGCTATATCGGAACTTATAAAAAATATTATAATGTGATACGGTGATTTGATTTTTTCTAAAGAAATAAACTAACCAAATGTTGTTAAATTTTAGAATTTAGAATTTACTTGGGAGTAAGGAAAAAAGCCGGTGCATAAAGTAGCCTATGAAGTTGCAAATCACATCATGTATCGTTTATCTTTCAAATGCTTTCATTTCTTGTTGGTTGATTATTAAATTTTGGCAATTTGTTCTTTTGCTCTATCTATAGCTTCGTAAATATATCACATTGCTAGTTTTATGTTACTATCCATAAATCTTAAAACTTTAACAAGAGGAGTTACACATTTCAAAGAATACTTGATTGACTCTTAAAACTTGTCATCAGATAGCTAAGTTACCTATACTTTTCTTGTCTCATCTTAGAATGATAATAACTTTTAGCGCATTGTTTCCAAGCAAACATAGCTCGAAGAGAAAGTTTAACTTCATTAAAACTTTTTAAAGTAAGAAATGATATAGCAAATCTTGTAACTCCGACTTTCTTTAACTCTTTCTTATTAGATAACTTTCTAAATATGTCAAGGACCTAAGCATGTCGATAAATGTAAATACAAACTTGTTTTACTTTTTTATTTTTATTTTTATTGGTAGCTCACCTATGTTATGCAATATCAAGTCAAAACAACGTGCTGCACAAATAGATCAAAATAATTTTTGCCTCCTTTTTAATAATTCACTAGCAGCTACATAAGCTGAAGTTATATCTTCACCATTTAAACCACATTTTCCTCCTCAACTTATTCCAATAATGAATCAAGCAGCTCAAACAACTTTTTTTGTGTATCTTTCATTATATCTGAAACATCCATGGATTTGAGAAAATTTGTTCCTCTTAGGTTGTTAACTAAAAAAATGATGGAAGATCTAGCTTTGCTACCAGTCCGTCCATCCGACATCAAAGTACATTATTTATTGCTTTACTCATTTTATATTTCTCCAGCATTAAATTTACATTGTCGACTTCCTTCTTCAAACATGTAACTTTAAATTCATGATAGTTAGGAAGTTTTAAATCTTTTCTATATTCACTAAATATTTTTATAACTGAAGCAAAATGAATTTCTCACCAAGATAAGAGGTAATGCATACGTATATAAAAACGTGCAAATGCTTTGAACAGTTGGTTTCCTATTTTTAATCATTGCATTTATGGTTTTTTGCTTAGCTTTGGCTCCCTTTCTTTTAATGACAAAGACATCTATAATTGCTTGTCTTTTTTCGCTTTTTTTCTCCCAATTGTTCTTTAAAGCATTCTTTTGCATTTATAATATCCATTTATCCTAAAAACTTTCTAAAATTTTTAAATTATAAAATTTCTATTATTATTAATATTTTTATGGTATTATGAGATAAAGACTTTAATATTTTAAAATAATTTTCAAATTTACAACCAAACAACGGAAAATAAGTCATTAATTTCTAAAATTTTTTTATTTTAAAAATTCTTCATTATTATTAATATTTTTATTTGGTATTATGAGAATAAGACTTTTAATATTTTTTAAAATTTATTTTCAAATTTAACAACCAAACAACGGAAAATAAGTCATTTGGAAAATATTTTTTCAGTAAATTATTTTCTACAAGTTATTTTACAGAAAACAAACGGGAGCCTGGTTCAGTATATTTATTGATAAATAAATTTGGGAGTTCAGATATTTATGATAAATTTGGCTTTGATTGAAATTGGAAGTCACAATCTTATACTTTAGAAATAATTCAATACTGTTAAAATTATAATTCATAAATTAAATAATGAACAATAAACTCATTTAATAAATGATTTTTAAAAAAACAACCATGAACCATTAAATTAAGATTTCAAGGAATTTACTAACAATTAAAACCTTTTACAACATTTGAAAAAATGGGAAATATTGTAATATTTTATTTTATTTTGTTATTTTTCTCAAAACCACAAGTTCATAAGCTACCATATTTCAATTGCAATTTTACAAAATTCTTGTTGGTATAAACAAATTTAGACAAACTTCTCATTTTGTAACAAATTTAGACAAACTTCTCATTTTGTTGGTTCGCAATAATAATAATAATAATAATAATAATAATAATAATAAATCCCAGTCGACTAAACACACACTCCAGGGAAGAGTCAAAAGTACCGCCCTGTGTCTTAGCTCCTCGTGGTGTCGAAGCAATGACGAAGTCCTAGGCACCACATCTCCAAGCGATGTCGAAGTAATGGCATAGTCCTAGGCATCGTTACTACATCCGATGTCGAAGCAATGGCGCAGTCCTAGGCATCGGCGGTGTCAAAGCAATGACGTAGTCCTCAGGCACCGAGCATGTGTATTGGAGCAAGCATGGCCAGAGTAGAGCCAGAGAAGTGGGTCGGAGGCAAGGCATGGCCAGTAGTAGAGCCAGAGAAGTGGTCCTAGGCATCGGCGGTGTCAAAGCAATGACGTAGTCCTCAGGCACCGAGCATGTGTATTGGAGCAAGCATGGCCAGAGTAGAGCCAGAGAAGTGGGTCGAAGTGGGGCGTAAAGCAAGAACGGTCCAAGGGCGAGTCGTTCTCCCTCGGCACGAGGACGTGCCGAAGATTGAGTGGGGGAGGATGTCACGGACAAATTCCGTGACCGTGTTAGGCCCTCATCAAAGAGCGTACCAAGCTGCGTTTCAACTTGCAAGGGTTGGGGCGGCTTAGCGATTAAGGCGTTGTTCTACCCTAGTGGTCCATTATCCCATGCAAAGTCTGCATGTAGGCGGGGTATTGTGCCACGGGGCACAACTGGTCGGGAGTTGGGCCACTCTCCTGATGAGCCCATGGCAGGGCGAAACCAGTGTGGTACGGTATGGCAAGGCTTGCCTCGAAGCCAAAGGTCCGACAATTGAGAAGGCTCCCGGGGCGCCGCACGGGCGCAGTGCTGCGCGAGACTCCAGGCCCGTGACATAAGGCTCAAGAAAGATACATCTCTCTATTTTTTGTTTCTATGAACAAATCACCTAAGGTTTTCTTTCCATGTAAAATTGTCTAGTTAGCATTTGCTTATATAAAATAAATAAATAAATAGAAGAAATAAAATGCAATACAAAAACCAATGATGTGTTTTGTGATCCAGCCTCTACTCCATCTGTACTCACCTCCTGTGATGTAGTATTTAGCCAACAATTATTTAGATATGCCTCTCTCAATTTCTTTTCTTCTATTTGCTTTTTTTTTTTTTTTTTTTTTTTTTTTTTTTTTTTCTACTTTCCTATTTCTAACTCCAATATCTTAAAAAATATAACTCGTTATGTTGCCATTTTTTTCTGATTTTTCTGTGTATTTCTTTCATGTTTTTCCCTTTATATTGCATTATCTCTTTTTTTTTTTTTTTTTTTTTTTTTTTTTTTTTTTTTTCATTTTACTACTTTCTATTTTAACTCCAATATCTTAAAATATAACTCGTTATGTTGCCATTTTTTTTTCTGATTTCTGTGTATTTCTTTCCATGTTTTTCCCTTTATTTTGATATCTTACAATATAAATTACAAAATTATGTGTTTTAATTTTTTTTTTAAATTTTTGCACCTCACTTCATTCAAGCTCTCCTCTTTGCTTGGAGGCCAGTGTCTAGGCTTCAACAGCTCTTTTGCACCTTGTGCCATTAGTTATTATGTCATTTAGGCGGTGGGCGACAACTTTTAATTAGCCAGTCAAAATACTAAATGCTACTTATAAAGTTGTTCATTAACAATGATCTTTTGATCAAAATTTTTATTTTTAGTATTGTTTAGCTGTTATTTATTTGAGTAGTTTTTTATGAAATACTAAAAGTTAAACGTTACATGAATTAACTTTTCGCAAAACGATATCTTAACCTCTCAAAGTTAGTTCAAACACTATGTTACCAAACAACTGTTTAAGTAGCCTTTAGCGTTTTAACCGGTCAAAACGCTCAAAGTTACTTAAAGTTATAGCGTTTGAACTCATTTTTAGAGGTTATAGTAGAATTTTGTAAAAAGTTAACTCATGTAACAATTAACTTTTAATATTTCATGAAAATCTACTTAAATAGTTAACAACTAAACGTTACTGAAACAACTATCAGCTATCAAAATAACTAATTATTCATGTTACTAACTTTTCTTACTATTCATTTATCATGATGAACTGAATTTTAAGATTAATGCACAAATTTTAATTTTGAATAAATAAGAGGACACGTGTTGTTGTGTTTGCAGTACGAAGGAAGGCTCACAAAAGAAAAATTAAGATGGTCCTTATCATAGCACATCCTCTTATCGTTATCCATTTTCGAATTGTCTGCAAATCGGAAAGATTTGGATTAGAACAATCTCTCTCTGCAGTACGTCTGACGTTGCAACAACTAAGTTACCTGCTTGGCCTTATTATTATTATTATTATTATAATTATTATGATTAAGCTATCGAAATTGAAATGCCAATTTTAGGTGCAGCATTTTCATTTTCTTCATTTCTCTCTCTGCGAATTTATACAATATAATAATATTCCGATATGTTTAATAGATCTGCTTTGTTATTTAAGCAAAGTCTGTAATCTCTGAGATTGTAACGAAGAAAGAAAAAAACGAAGAAGAAGATTAGATCATAGATAGATGGGAAATGTAAATGGTAGAGAAGGTACAGATGAAGAAGGATCTAACGGTGAATCAAACATCCAAGCCGGCGGCTCCTCCTCCTCTTATTCGCATCGGCAACCACCTGCTGTTCCTTCTGATTCCATGCCCAATACATTTACTACTACAGCTATTGTTAATAATAATACTAACACGCCGCCTCATAGCCCTGCTCGCTCCGTTTCCCCTCTTTTGTTCGCTCCTCAGGTTTTTTTTTTTTCCTTTTCATTGTTACTACTGATACTGTTTAATATGTCTGTAAATTATTGGATCTTCAACAAGTTGCTGAAGTTGATGATTGATTGATGTTTTTTTAGGACTAACAATTAGTTTTTTGGCGATTTTAAGACTATTATCCTGTTTATTATTTGAGTAATGGATAATTAATGTATGTTTAATTTGTCTGGTAAACTGCTATTACTATTTCAATTCATTTTTAGTTAACAGAAATCTGCTAGTACTGCAAAAGGACACCGCATTATAGTGGCATGAATGTTCAAAATCATGGCTTATTTTTAAAACTCTTGTTATTATTTTCTGATTATTTTAGTTCCAACCCTGCAAAGTATAGGCTTATTTACTTATAATCAAAAATTGACTAAATTGCATCAGTTAGTTTTACTTAATTCTCGTTGTACATGTGATGTGAATGCCTTTTTTTTTTTTTTTTTTTTTTTTTTTTTTTTTTTTTTTTTTTTTCTTTATTTATGCCATTAATGTACAGAAACTTACGAAATATGTGCGACCTGTTAATTTCATTCTCCCTTCGCAATTTGAGAAACTCTTTTTTTTTTTTTTTTTTTTTTTTTTTTTTTTTTTTTTTTTTTTAGCATTAAGTACAGAAACTTACGATATGCGACCTATTTCATTCCCCTTGCAATTTGAGAAACTCAATCTTTCTTAGTTGTTCTATAAGTTGATAGGCTTTTTTTTATTTATTTATTTTTATTATGCATTTGTAGGTCCCTGTAGCTCCTTTGCAGAGGGGTGATGGCCCATCTTTCCTAAACCAAATTTGGCGAACTGAGTCTTCTGAAGTTGATCATCCTCCTGAACAAGGAATCCCCACGATCATATCCTGGAACTACGGTGGCAATGAAGTGTTTGTGGAAGGATCTTGGGACAACTGGATGTCCAGGTTGGATAACCACTTTTTTATTACTTATTGGGGAGACCAATAGAAGTTAAAAAGTAAAGAAAATAATATTTGGTTTATTATTATTCTGGCTGTAGGAAGCAACTACAAAGATCTGGTAAGGACTATTCTATCCTTCTGGTCCTCCCATCAGGAATATACCATTATAAGTTCATTGTAGATGGGGAATGGAGATATATTCCAGAACTTCCTTGTGTAGCTGATGAAATGGGCCGTGTTTGTAATCTTCTCGATGTTAATGTAAGTATCTATATCCCTGCCCTTACATTTCAGTCACTAGATACTTTTTCTATAGAATTGTCTCACTTGCTACAGCTCTAGGAAGGCTTTAGACTTTTTGGAAGAGTAGATTTTGATAGGATAAATAAAGTTGCTTTGAGATTTTTTATTATACTTATATTAGTAGGGAGGATATTCTGATGGATTGATATGTAGGACAAATTGGCTAAAGGGGAGATGATAATAGAATTTCAGTTGAACAGGAAATTATTGGAGAATGAGCTTGATAAGGTGCTTTTGAAAAGAGACTTTTAGGAAGAAGACGATGAGAATAAAGTGGCTTTGAGATGGAGATTTTAGCATCTTTAGACCCTAATGCAGTTAAAAGTTGAGGAAGAATAGAATCATACTTCTGTTGAGGAACATTGTCTAGGATTTTTTATGCCAATCACGTGTGAAAAGAATTTGAATGTCTTATCATTCTTGAGTCCAAGCCTTCAAGATTAAGGCCTTTAATTTTATTAATTTGGTTACTGGTTGTTCAAAAGTTTGGCTGATGCTTGTGGTTCTGGACAATGACTAATCCCCTCTCCTTTTCCACAATTTTTTTTTTTAATTTGTGAGGTGGAATGGCGATTGGACAATGTAAGGTTCTTTTGCGGGGTCTGTATAGAATATGAGAACATTATTGTGCTTCCACTTTCATTTTGTCAATGATACTATTCTTTTCATACCTAATACATGAATAGTTTCTCTTATGCATTTTGCTATGCGGTTTTTAGTCTCTAGGTTGAGAGTTTATTTTTCCAAGGGTCATATGATTGGTAATCTACTTAGGTTGTTTGCTTCTTTTTCAATGTATTTGATCCAAGAACGTCCTTGGGTTCTACTAGGAGTTTTTTCACATCAATTGTCTTTTTAGATCTTATAGTGATGTGGGTCAGCTTGGAAACTTGAGCTTTTTTTAGCAATTATTACTTGGGATTAGAGAAATCTAGAATTAGGGCTTTCAATGAGTATGATAGATATGAATTCTTGAGAAAATAAAGGAAAAATAAACAAACAAATAAATGAACTTCTAGCATCAATAGAGGATAAAGCATGACATTTTCTAGGATTAGAATTCATCACACAATTCAAAGATAAAAGCATAAGTTATTGGGTTATTGACTGAAAAATTCATCAAAAAGCATTTCAAGAATGGGCATTTATAAACTAAACTAATCCCAAAACTTAAAGGTAAGGGAATTTCAGAAGTAGTTGAAACCCCCCAAGGAGTTAGACTCTTAAATGAAACTAAGAGGAACGTGTAACTTGAAGGCAATAAGGACTCAAACTAAAATTCTAAAAATAAAGATACAGAATCACATTTGCAAACTAAAATTCTAAAATAGAGAGACCCAATCTGATTTGGAGGGAATTTCAAGAAAGCTGGAAATTGCAAATACGCTAAAATATTTGAAATAAATGATAGATAAAATTTGGACCATAGTTCTAAAATTATATGGTCTTTGAATTCAAACTTCTTTTGATTTCTTGACTGTCTCTTATGGTTTAGACTTAAGATTGATATTTAGCATTTGGATGGGTGAAAAGCATTGTAGATACTTTTTAATGTGGCTATGATAATTATTAGTATTGTTGTAAGGAAAATAAAAAGTTAGTGTTCTGTTGTGTGGGAAAACAGAAGAGAGATCATTTGATTAGTAAGGGTAGGTATTATCGACCTAGTTTGAAAGGAAATTTTAGTACTCCCAATGTAGTTCCAAAAATACTATTTTATTAGGGAAATTATTGGGAAAATTTCCTTTAGAGCTAGATTCTTTTCTTTACTAAGAAGGTTGGTGATAGTTCTTATATTCAGTTTTGGTATGATAATACTTCTGCGGAAGGATACTCGCTCAGTTTTTTCTCATTTTGATTGTGTTCCTTCTTCTAAAACACTCTGTTTGACTTTTTATACTTTAGATGGCAGTTTTTACAAAAGTTACCACTTCCAATGGCAATGCCAAAGTAGCCCTACATTTTTTGGGACCTAGAAAGGCATTATTAGTTGGCATTTGTTTTCTGAGGTTTTCCTAGATATGATGCTTTACATGCATGCAGGTTTTGCAACGTTTTATAAGAACTATTTTGCTAAGTTTGTAGGTAGCAAATGTTCAGCAAACTTTGAGAATCTTTCCGTTGACTCATTTCAGTGGTTTTGGACAAAATTCAAGCAGAGATTCTTTCAAAATACATGCTTTTGAGCTTCGTATTAATGCTATAGTTTTAAGGCCCCATTTTCGGGGATCAAAGAGTGGATTTCTTCTCTGTCTGATATTTTGGTTTTAACGAGGAATTTCTCTTGGAAATATTTGGTGAACTAGAAAACCATTTTGTTTTTCATTCAGTTTCATTTATCTTCCTAACATTTTTTTTTTTTTTTTTTTTTTATCGTTTAAGAGCCCACATTTTCGGGTGATCAAAAGAGTGGATTTCTGTCCTTCTGTCTGATCATTTTTTGGTTTTAACGAGATTTCTCTTGGAAATATTTGGTGAACTAGAAACCATTTTGTTTTTCATTCGAGTTCAATTTATTTCCTAACAATTTTTTTTTTTTTTTTTTTTTGGGGGGGGGGGGGGGGGTGGGGGGGAGTTGGAGATGGAAGGAAGCAATTTTTATTCCATTTAATTGGCTCAGGGTGGGGGGGGAGTGAGAGAGGAGGAAGGCAATTTTCTATTCCATTTAATTGGCCAGAGTTGTTTTTGGTTTACATAAATGCTAGATTATTGAAGTAATTGCTTTTGTGTATGTTGGGATAGTATTCCTTTGAAAATGCTGGTGGTAAAGTGGTTGTGAGTCTTGTGACTATGGTGGATTATTGACGGTGTTGATGCCAGCAGTGATGTTAAGCACAGGTGGGGAAGAGCGTAGGCAGTAGGTTATTAGTGCTGCAGGGGGTGGAATAGTGGTGGCACTATTACTGGTGTTTATACAAGGCAATGTCGATAGATGAGGTGCTGCTAATGGTGGCACATTTTTAATTCTATAATCGTACATAAATATCAAACAGTGTCTGTATCAACTTGAGTTAAGCTGACCTAACATCGCCCATATACCTGTTAACACTTTTTTTTCCCCTTGAAGCGATGCTTTGACAGGTCTAAATATTATTTTTCCTCAAAAACTAGCCTGGGAACTTGCATACTGTTGGGTACCAGTTTTGAAATCCATTTGCTGTTACATGCAGGATTATGTACCAGAAAACCTAGATAGTGTGGCTGAGTTTGAAGTTCCACCATCTCCAGACTCCACTTATAGTCAGTCATTTCCTACAGAGGAAGATTTTGCAAAGGAGCCATTAGCAGTTCCACAACAGCTGCATCTTACCGTCCTTGGTATGGATGATTCAACTGAATCTTCTTCTTCGAAGCCTCAACATGTTGTGCTCAACCACCTGTTTATAGAGAAAGGATGGGCATCACAATCTCTAGTCGCTCTTGGATTAACTCATCGGTTTGAATCCAAATTTGTTACTGTCGTCCTCTATAAGCCTCTCAAAAGGTAGCAGCATCTTTCATTTTCAGGCTTAGTTTCATAAATGGAAGATAATCAATCACTTTCACTATGTGACTTTGTGAATGTATCTTTGTTTATAGGATACTCAGCTTTTCTTAACATGCTCTCTTATGTTTGATCTGTTGTAGTATTAACCTTTCATTTTCAAGCTTTTTGCACCCTTTGTTGTTCTCCAAGGAACAGCGCAGGGAAAGATAATTTGAGTCCCTTTTTGGTTAGTACATCTCCTTTATCTCTTGTATATTAAAGTTGTCATGCTTCTGTTGTATTCTTTAATTCTTTAGATGCAGTTGCTGAAGAATCCTAAATCCCATGGTACTCCCGACTTTCCAATGTAACTGCAAAATGAGTGATTTCAAGATTCAATACTTTGTTTTTAAGTATACTAGAATTATCTTTGAGCAGTTGACTTCTCCTTAGATCTGATCTTGTTATATTTTGTTAAATTTTATCACTAACTCATGTCTGGAGCTCCTAGCAGAATCGAACTCAATTACATCTAATAGTTTCACTTGTCTCAGGGGAAAGTGTTTAGTCTTTTGGATGGAAAGGTGGTACTACCAACCTCATTTGCAAATTTCAGCACTTAACCTGCCTAAAATGGCTAGTCTTTCACTATATATTGTAAGCTAGAGCTCGTTAAGAGTATGCTTGTGCTTGGCTTGTTTATAGTTTATCAATGTTCAAGTCCTCACAGGTTGGAACTTGGGCTTGAGCTGTTTCGAGTTTAGCTTGTTAAGTTTATCGAATAAGCCTGAACAAATTCTTTCTGAACTGGGTTTTGAGAAATTGGTTAATGGTTTGGCTTATTCACAGGTTTGTTTTATGTGAAGGATAGAAATTGAGAAAGAGGATTGATAGATAAGAAAGGGCGATTCCAATATCTAAACATTAAATAAAATAAGAGAAAATTATGATTTTGTCTTTGTATTTTGTCAATATTAACTATAATATTCTTATATTTTTAGAAATATACTAAATATTTTTTGCATCTTAAATTTGTTAAACCAAGTTGCCCCTTTGGTTCAAAAATATATTTGCCCCGCTAATTGAGCTTAAAATGACCTAGTCAGATGACAGGGAATAAACTTTTGTACCTAAAATGACTTCAAAGCATTGTCTATATTAAAATAAGAAGATCAAATGCAAAGGCTTTACTTTTAACTTGAATGCAATAGAGAAAGCTAGGGTTTTTGGCATTGCATGTCTGGGAGAGAGAGAATGAGTTCATATAGTGCAAACGAGAACTTAAACATGTAAGAGTTGTAAATACAATGTCCAAGTGTGGGAAGCGAGGTGGGGCACGTATTTTTTAGACTTTGAAGAAGAATTGGTTATATTATTATTGTCAAAACCTCCAATGTAGATCTTTTCTTCGATGGTGCAAGCCTACAGAAAGAAGCGAGTGTATAAACTGTTCCAGAGAGTATTTTTGAGACCTTGAAGAAGAACTGGTTGTATTATTACTATCAAAACAACCAATGCGGATCCTTTCTTTGATGGTGCAGGCCTATAGAAAGAAGCTAGTGTACAAACTATTTGAGAGAGTACACAGATGAACTGAAGGACTTCAACGACAATGAGGTTAGTCAACGCACAAGTCTTGTGAGGGATGTGGCAATTCGATCGATGTCTCTATTCATTTAAAGGAGGAAAATAGAAGAATTTTGGAGAAGCTGAATGGAATCAATTTTGTTGTTGGGCAACAGAAGATATTAATTATTGTATGTTTGATGTTTGTAGTGATTAATTTCATGATGGTTATGTTTGTGCTTTAAAGGAATTTGTAATTATAGTAGTTTATTTTGAAGTAATTTATTTTGATTTTGAGTGATCTTGGATGATTAAGGTAATCTGTTTTATTATATTTAGCTATCAAATGTTTGTAATATTTGGGTTTGCACTTAAAACTAAATTATATATGAAATGCAACTTGGGGTGCACTAATCACTTTGCATTTTGTAAATGAGAATAGAGGAAAATGTACACTTATAGCTAACTTGTAATAATGAAGAATAAATTTTCTGTGTTTCAAATCTCATCTTTGTATATAACAAGGAAGCTTAAACAAATGATGCCTTATTTACATGAAAAAAAAGATAGTAGTATCTGAAACCAGAGCTCATTTGCTCAATAAAAATAGGATATCCATTTCTTGTTGAAACTTTACAAATTCACAATACACAAATATGATAAAAGTCATTTACTATTTCTTATTCACTAAAAATTGACAGCAGAAACATACCATATAAGGATATTAGAGCTAAAGAATAACAAAACTATCATTCTCCTAACAACCAATACAATGTCCAAAATGGTAGCTTATCACAAAATCATTAGGTTGGCTAAATCCTCGGCCTGAGAGAGAGAGAGAGAGAGAGAGAGACTAACAACCAATCACAATGTCCAAAAGTGGTAGCTTATCACAAAATCATTAGGTTGGTAAATCTCCGGCCTGAGAGAGAGAGAGAGAAGAGAGAGAGAGAGAGAGAGAGAGAGAGAGGAGAGGAGAGAAGAGAGAGAGAGAGAGAGAGAGAGAGAGAGAAGAGACCCCAGAGAGGAGAGATGAGGATAGATGAGAAGAGAGAGAGAGAGAAGAGACGAGAGAGAGAGGAGAGGAGAGAGAAGAGAGAGAGAGAGAGAGAGAGAGAGAGAGAGAGAGAGAGACGAGAGAGAGAGAGAGAGAGAGAGACGAGAGAGAGAGAGAGGAGCAGAGAGAGTAGAGAGAGAGAGAGAAGATGAGAGAGAGAGAGAGAGAAGAGAGAAGAGAAGAGGAGAGAGAGAGGAGACGAGAGAGAGAAGAGAGAAGGAGAGAGAAGGAGAGAAGGAGACCCTTTGCGCAGAGAGAGAGAGAGAGAGAGAGTTTTGTACTATTTACATCTCAATATTCCACTTTTTGCGCCTTTTGTACTTGGTGAGAGAGAGAGAGAGAGAGTTGCATAGTTTACATCTCACTATTCCACTCCTTGTACCTTTTGTACTAGGTGGACTTTCTCCATCTTGTTTAATCCTTCAATTCTTAGGTCTACCCACTTTTCTCTTTACTTTAGTTGGTTGTATCTTGTCATTTTCATCTCTAGGTTCAAATGATGTTTCAGGTATAAGATGGATTACCCCTGAATACACTTTAAAACACTTTTGTACAGTAAAATATTTATGACAAAAGTCTTCCACGTTTGAGCTTCGATATCCAATAACTAACATTGCATGATTGCATGGAAGACTATAAATTTCCCACCATATACAACTACAAGTTTCTTCACCTGAGTCAATTACAAATGAAATTGGACCCTTTGACTCCAAACTTATCAGAACTACTTGACAGCATTCTATAGTGTCTATTATTCCTCATTAGTATTTTGATATGTTCTTTACAAGCATATGTGAGTTTGCCTTCCAATAACCTTGCCTTGACATATCTTTATGTAGCCTAACCATGCATTTTTTTTTTCTCAAAGTGTCTAAGAGAGTGACAATAGTCATTGCCTTAAGCTTCCTAACCCAACTATTAAATGACTTCGTCATATTATTTGCATATTATTCCAAATGTCGTCACTCTTACATTCAGGGCTAAAGGCATGTCTAGCTTATTGATTGACATGTATTTTCTGCAGCCATTCATATGGTTTTCCATACAATAATATCTTTTAATGTAGCCTAACCATGCATTTTTTCCCCTCAAAGTGTCTAAGAGAGTGACAATAGGCATTGCCTTAAGCTTCCTAACCCAACTATTAAATGACTTCGTCATATTATTTGCATATTATTCCAAATGTCGTCACTCTTACATTCAGGGCTAAAGGCATGTCTAGCTTATTGATTGACATGTATTTTCTGCAGCCATTCATATGGTTTTCCATACAATAATATCTTTTAATGTAGCCTAACCATGCATTTTTTCCCCTCAAAGTGTCTAAGAGAGTGACAATAGGCATTGTCTTAAGCTTCCCAACTCAACTATTAAATGACTTCGTCATATTATTTGAAACGTGTCACTCTTTCATTTAGGGCTAAAGGCATGTCCAGCCCATTGATTGGCAAGTATTTTCTGTAGTCAATCATATGGTTTTCCATCTAATAAATTTTGTAATTTTTCACATGAATATTGAATTGTCCTCTATAAGTGGACTTTGTAACATACCAAAACTTCTTCCTCAATATCAACCTTGGGTATGCTTTTCTAAATTTGGCCTCTATATGCCTACAACAAAGCTTATGTGATCCAAGTGGAAACCAAATTCTAACAGCTTCTACTAAACCTGTGAAACATATAAAAAAATAATTTTAGTTACATGCTAGTGAGATACAACAATTTCACAATGCCCTAGTAATAAAAAAACTCACTGTGGTCCACAACATACCATTCACATCATTTCAAAGCAAAATCAATCAGCAAAAAAAGATATTCAAAGCAACAAAAAGCTAAAATACCTTCTGCCATTTCGACATAAAGGTCCATGGCATGTGAGTTGTTCCATCCCCAATACATTGATGCAAGCAATCTAAGAAGAATCACCATGATGCACTACATTCTGTCTCATACCAAAAAATATAGGCAACCACCCCTATCCCCATCAAGAGCCACTATTGACAAGAAACACCCTCTATAAGGTCCTTTCAAGTTGCACCCATCCAACCTATAAGTGGCCTACATCTCTTGAGAAATCTACCCCTCAATGCTTCATAGCAAATAAATAATCTACCAAAAAATTGCTTCTAGGCTTAGGTTGAAATTTCACAAAGGTACCAAGTCCTTTGTATGGCCTCAATGTAACACCTCAGATGGTTGTAGCTCTCTTTGTAGGAACCATCCACATTTTTTTTTGCTTGAGATCTAGCCTTGTAGAGTTGCCAAGACTCCATTAAAATACCCAATTTCTTATTAAGTTCAATTTGCATCAACTCAAAACTCATGTTTGGATTAACAGTCAACTGTTCTTCTAATTTCTTCCTTATCCACTTTGTGGTTGCATTGGGATTCTCATTTCCCATTGGCCTACACACTCATGCTCTTCTTGAAGTGGTTTGATCATGAAAGTCATTTTATCTATCACTATTAAAGCATGCAACCTCCACTTACACCCATCTGCTTTGCGTCTCAGTGTCAATCTTGTTGAATCACTTTTATCCCGTTTTATTTTGTACCCACCCTTGATTGTTAATCTCTAATAATGCCTCTAAGTAAATCAATCCTTGTAAACACTTGGCCCACCTTAAAATTTAATCTCACCACCATTAGCTCTTGAAACAAATTCATTTTCATAAACATGTTTGAAAGGGTTAGTTTTTCCTCTTCTCCTTCTATTTTGCACTTCTGCTTCACCTAAATCAGAATCATTGGAGTCTATTTTCATCTCATAATTAGATGGTAGACTGCCCCAATCGCTATCATCATTGTCATCTACCTCATCAGCAATGTTTCCATCAATATCAAAGCCCTCTTCAGGTTTAGTAGCTTTAGGTTTAGTTGCATCAAGTTCAACAACTCACCTTCTTTTTACTGAACTTATAAACCCCCACCAGTTTGATAATATGAGGAATTCTTAGAAGCACATCAATCACTTGTGGTTTGATAATATGAGGAATTATTATTAATATAAATTATGTGGATTTGATTGTAATCAGTTTTGATAAAAAAAAAAAAGAAAAGTGTTAAATTTATCTTTAGATAAATTAAAAAAATTTCAAGTCTGATTTCTATTGATTAAGAAATTGAAAAATCAACTGATAAACTAATTTCATCATATGCTAACCGATTAGCAAATATTATTAAACTAATTACTCCATCCGTTCTCTTTATTTAGGGAAATGAGAAAAAGCTCTTGGATTAAGAAAGTTAGTTAAATTAAGTTTTCTTCCTAAAATGCTCTTCATTTCATCATTAATTATAGGAACAATAGTTGACACAAAAAACAGTTTC